TGCCAACAATCCATCACTTATTTGGAATGTTGGTGCTTAATCTTTAACCTTTCATATAAATAAATATTATGAATATATAAAGGTATCTTTCGATTTAAATCTTCAATTAACATATATACCTTAAAATTCTAACAAAGTTGATTGTGTTCACTGATTAAACCTTAACACATTGTTTATAACCTTAAAATTGAATATATAACACTCATAATACTTACTTAATCTTCTGATAAAGGTTTAAAACTGCTTTAGCACTATCATGGCCATTTGGTTATCCTCATTTATAAACATTTACAAGAAAGTTTTCAATTTTCTTATTGAAATGGCACCATTTCAATATTTATATAGGTAGAGTTTTTTATTTGTGTTTCCATTACTATAAACATTTAATTATAGACTCCATTAAGAATTTGATCTCAACGTCCAAAATCTAGCCACCAATTAGATGACTTATTTACAGTAGCCATATAAACTTTGATAATCATTTCAATTTGCATGTTGGTCACCATTGCAACAAGTACTTTGATTTCTTGCTTAACCAAATGCGCCTTGTTTTTGGAATTAGAACAAATCTTAATTCCAACATTTTAAAATCTACAATCTTTAATAAAATGTCTTTCCTTTCTACAACATAAACATATTTTATTCTTGTTAAATTTGGATTTCTTAGATCCCTTCTTCTTTACTTTAAAATTGTTTTGAATTTTTTTAGAAAACTTGTGAGTTTTTTTAGAATTTTGTTTACTTATATAGTTCACATTGAAACCTCCAAGGAAGAATACATCTCTTGCATGATTTTCTGCTTCAATTTGTAAATGAGTTTGAAATTCTTCAATGATGAAAGCATCTGTTGAATGTAGAAGTTTTTTCTATATCCATTCCAAAAAGAAGGAAGTTTTGACAAAATAACTCTAACTTGAAGTGAATTTAAAATTTTAATTTCTAACTTTCTTAATTTAAAAGCCATAATTTGGAACTCATGCACTTGGTCCATGATTGGATTGTCATCAGTTATGAAAAATTTAGAGTATTTCAAGGTCATAAATATATCAATACCTTTCTTTTTGTTTATGTACTTGTGTTCAAGAGCAATCCGAATTTGTTTTGGTGTTTTCATATTTTTGTATAAGTCATATTGACGATCAGATAATGAATTTCAAATGTAACATCAATAGACTAGTTTATCTTTTTCACATTTGCTTTTTGTTGCCTTAACAGCATCAAAATCTTTAGGAGTTGATTTTGGAATTGGTTCTAAATTTGGATCAAGTACATAAAACATCTTCAATGCAGTCAACAAGAAAACTATTTTGTCCTTCCACTTAATGTAGTTTGATCCATTGAAACAATCGAATTTGATTGCATCTTAATTCTGAAAATGAATATTCATACTTGATTCCAAATCTATAGCATTAGGGACAACAATAGATGTAGTGGCCATAATAATTGCCTTTAAATTGTTAAAAAATTTTGAGACAAATAAAATAATAAGAAAGAAGAATATGGTTTTGAAGCATAAAGAATAATATTTTAAATGTAATTATATATATAGGATACAACAAAATCTTAAAACTCTCCAAATCAAAATCAGTGAAATTGGTCATGTAGAAATATTTATTTATAATAGACGAACAATCACAAATTTCTATTCAAAAAATTATGACAATCTGTATAGTCATGTTTTTCTATTCAAATAAGTTTATTTAGAATAAAATAATATTATTTTATTTTATTTCAAATGTTTAATAAGTAAAAGATTAAAAAATAAATTTATTTACTAAACAAACTCAAGTGGTCCCAAATGCCCAATCTTTAACTTTTAAAATTATTCAACCTACTAAAAAAATCTTTTAACAGGCTCAAATGACTTAACCCACTCAACAATTAGATCACTTATTTAAGTAACATAAATGGTCTCGTTTAAATTACATACAAATGATTTCTTTTATTCAATGTGGAATACATCATATTTTAAACTATTAACACAAGTACACATGCACAATCTGGGATGGTACCAAGAATTTGAGTTAGAAGGGACTATCACTCTTTTAAGCATTATTTTAGTTTAAAATTTATGTGCATAGAAATTATTGTTTTGTATTCAATGTTCTAATTCCATGCAAGGAAAAAGAAATGGTCATGCGGGCAATTAGAGAAGGAAAAGTTAAAAACTGAGGATTGTTATGAATAATAATATGATGGTGCGTGAAGGGATTTCTTTCAATGGTTATTGCATGCATAAGCAAAGAGATTGAATAGCTTAAATGCTAATTAAAATTTTTGATAGAGCAGCAGGCTGAAGTAAGGATTAATAAGAAAATTAAAGAAAACCTTATAGCATAAGCAGGAAATTTTTAAACACCAAGGGCTGTCATGACCTCTTGCATATGATTGGGATAGGAGAAATTATTGCAGGTATTAAGATTTAAATCTTAGATCTATTTGATATTATATTTTAAAAGTGACTACATAAATTAATTGAGTTATGCTTCAGGTTTGCCTTAAACATTTTTTAATCTTTGTGACTTTGTTAATTTCATTGAATCTTCCTATTAAGAAGAAAACTTAATTTTCTAGTTCTAGTCTGTTGACTTTAGAGAATTTTAAGGGTCCAAGCAAGGATAATAAGAAAAATAAAGAAAACTTCACAGGTTAGGCAACAAGTTTATAAAAGCTAGAGGGTGCCATGATTAGAGGTGACAAATCTATTATGAACCCAAAAATTTGTCCGAATTAATCTACGATTGAATTTGGATCAACCTAAATTGATAAAAAAGGGGTCAAAAACTGAAATTCAAAAAAATCCAATCTAAAAAAATCAAAATCCAAAAAAAAGACTCGAACTCAATGCAATCCAAATTCGTCATAGTCTACAATAATTCGAACTCAAAATCAATTAAATATAAAACTTGTAAAAAATTGAATTATAACCCAAGAAAACCGAAACTATAATTATATGATTTTTTTTAATAAATAAAAAATATATTTTTCTTAAATAAAAATTTTGAATTTTAAAAATGTAATTATTGATAATTATTAAATAATTATACTAATAATAATCAACAACATTAATGTTAAATTTTTAATTTCGATTATAAAATAAATTTAATTTGATGCACACTAAATATTAATATCTAATGATTTTTAATGCTTTCATCTTGTTCTATTTACAATAATTATCAATATAAAACCAAAAAAATCATTAATTTAAATTTTAATTTCATTATAAAATATTCATTTACAATATATTATTGATTCATTATACTTATTCCATATAATTAAATCTTCATTTTAATATTTGATTTAATTTTATGTTTTGAGAAAAAATTAATAACATTATTAACTAAAAAATAAGTTTAAATTATATATTTTTTAATGTTTAAAACATATTATATTAAATTTGTTAATTTTACTTGAAAATAAAAAAATTATCCTATAAATGAAAATATATTATTTTTAAATTGAAATATAAAGATAAAAAAATTAAATAATTAAATTAAAAAATACAATAACCAAACAAATATAATAAAATAAAATATGTTCTTTAATTCGTAAAATCAAATAACTAAAGTTTTCAAATTTTTAAAAATAATGCATCATCATCAAAATCAAGTCAGCTAATATCCAAAATATGATCCTGCAAATTACAATCAAAGCAACTCAATTATTGTTAATGAAAATTTCTCAACTTTTTTGTCAACAAAAAGATTTATTATAAAGTAAAATATCTAATATATTGTAATAAGAAATTCTTAATTCTCTTCCACAAAAAAAAACTAATTTAACGTTGCTACAGTTTTTCACGAGACAATTAATTCTTTTTAATAATATCTATTGGTCAACTGTGTGAAATTTGAATATTTTAGCTTTTATTTGAATTTGTTTGATGGACTAAAAAATAATGAATAATATTTAAAGACAAAAGTAATATATAATATATATTTGTATAAATATATTATTTTTAAAATTTTAACATTAATTTTTTGTAATATTTTTATTTAATTATATAAAAAATAAAATTAATTCTTAATTTGAAATTACAAAATTATGTTTATAACTTATAATTTTTTTGAAAAATTTTCAGACTCTTCTAAATAATAAGTTCGTCCAACTAGAAGCAAAACGAATTCAAAATAATTTGAATTCAAAATAGTTCGTATTTGAAATAATCCAAACTCAAAATTATTTGAATTTGAAAATATCTAATATAAAAAAATCTAAATTTAAGTAGATCTGAACCTAAAATGAATCTTAACAAAAAAGATATAAATTTGAAAATAATTCGATTTGAACTGATTTGAATTGGCCCATTTGCCACCACTAGCTATGATGTTCCTAACCCTTCGGCTCTATTCTCGGGCATATGGATTCATACAAATTGAGACATTATGTAATCTTTGTTATTTTGTTGATTTCTTTTAATTAGCCAATTATGAAGAAACCTTTTGTAATGTTAGTCCTTTGATATGAGCTGAGCATTTTTTTTTTTTACTACATTGTTTAAAGTTGTGAATTCTTTATTTAATAGTCAAGTGGTATATGTAAGTTGAGTATTAAACTTTTAATTTCAGTAATCAAGTTCCAATTTTGATAACTTTAAATATACAAAAAAAAAAAAAAAATGAACTTAAGTTCAAAATTCTTCAAATCTAAATCCTCTTATTTTAAATGACATGCATGTACCATACTGAGATTCCTGAGCGCTTTGTATGCAGATTTGGCATCGGTTCAAGATAGTGAAAATTGAGATCAAGTGCCAGTCATTCTTCTCTAAGTGGAGGTATTGAGACAGCTTTGTAAGTGAGTTTATATATATATATATATTGAAGCAACTTAGTCGTGAGACAAGAGAAAGCAATGCCAGCTTCATAGTGGGAAAGCAATGAAGATTAGCTCTGCACAATTCCTTGGGATTCTGCAGCCTATTCATATTGATTTTTCACTCTTTGGCTACATTTTTTCCACATAATTTTGTATATCAATACTGTCTCCAAGGTGCAACAGATAATAATCGATCACTAGGCTGTATTCATTGTAGCAAAACCAGAACTAACTTGTAACAAAATGTTCGTTGAAGTTATAGCTACAATAGAAAATCATTCTTGTTCAAAAGTCATTGTCCAGAAAACTCAAACAACAATAGAAAACCCAAATAGCAAAAGAGGGCAGAACAATCTCACCAATCACAGTTTTCAAAGCAGCTATTGACTTATTTTGATCTGTAGCAGCAGCAGATAAAGATTCCTATTAAGATTAGCAAACAAATGGGGCGTCAACATGATGGTCACTGCAGTATAGGCCGGGGCGCTGAGTGAAACCCTGTTTCTTAAGCATCTGCCTAGCTTTTGTAACAAGCTCTTCATTAGAAACTGTGCCATCTGACTCTGCAATTATGGTCTGAATGGCATTGCTAAGAGCTCCATAAGCTGCGCTTGAATTCCCTGACGGGCTGGCATCCGCAGAAGTTTGGTTGGTCTGGCAGCCGCTGATCAAAATTCCACCGTCAGGAAGATTGCGCTTGGTTGTTCCAGCAAAAACCTCTTGCTTGGTACCCACTTCGGTCTCCAGGGCAGCTTGTCCGTATCCTTCATCATTGTCCAGCTTTTGCTTAAGAAACTCTTGTGCTAGATTCCCAACCATTCCCAAGAAACCACCATCTCCACCTTCACCATTACCATGCTGCAGTTTGTTCATTATGATCTTCATAAACTTCTTCACTTTGGGGCTTGCATCTTCCCCGAAGATATCGAAAAGAGTTGGCCTTAGCTTTCCAACATCAATGTCATCTTTACCAGTTTTCTGCTTGAGCATTTCGATTAGAGTTGAGAGTGGCAGAGATCTGCTTTTCACATAGCCACGCTCAACATAGTCTTCGGTCACTCCTCTGTCATCAACCTCTTCATCATGCCTCTGGTGGTGGTGGTGGCGCAATCCAGAGGGGACATGAATTCCACGAGACTCAAACGCATCTTGAACAGTTTGGTGCAAGAAGCTCTTGAACCCAAAACCAGAAGCTGATTCTTGGCGCTTGGTGCTTTCACCAATTTGCTCTTTGGCCTCATCAATCAACCCGCCACTGTGGCATGAATCAGATACAATTGTTACGCGGCAACCTTCTGGGACTTTATCCACAAAATCTCTGAAATCATCATCTGTTCATAAACAACATCATTGACTTTTAGCAACTTTACAACCACCTAATAGCATATCAGTTTATTGTCAAACAACACTTCTGGATTCAGAAAAAATGAATCTTTTTATTGGATGAGACAAAAATGGGTCCGGATCTCCTGCGGGAATGATTTGGAAGATCCAAAACCAAAAATAGTGGTATTTGCTAGCAACAACATAATGGAGGCAGTCAATCAAGATAGATTGATCCGAAATTTGATTCAAATCCAATATAGCACCTATGGGTACATAAGAAATGTATTGAAACGATCCCATTGAAACTTCAAATATGGAATTCAAAGGGATCAAATAGGAAATATTACTCTGAATCATAGAACTATAGTGAAATATAGATATCTACCACCATTAAAAAAAAAAAAAACCATCCAAACCGTAGGAAAATTTGTACCAAAAATTATCTAGATCAAGCAATACAACAAGTTACAAGTAATAATTCAAAATAACAGATAATTCCAGACACTGGTATCCGAGTACTTGTGTTTCTAAGGCAAAACAATGGATGAAGAGTATCTAGTTCTTAATAAGATTCAAGACCACTAGCAATATCTATAGATTCGACTTGAAATCTTAACAGTTCAATCAAATTTTATACCAAGAACTAAATTTTTGACAAGGGGACCATAGAACAAAACTAAATCCGAGGATGAGGCACACAGATCTATGATTTATGGCAGATTTATCTATAAGCATATATAGCAAAGAATCAGGAGAAACAAAAGTGAAGAAAGAGGGAAAGAAAAACCAGTGATGAGGTTCATATCGCAGGGGACAATGCATTCATCATAGCCAGTGTCATCATCGTCCCCAGTCTCAGCAGGAAGCCTCGTCCCATGCCCACTGTAGTGCACAAACAGAAAGTCCCCAGGCTCTGCCGACCTTACAAGATCATTCAAAGCCCTTCTGATGTTCTTCCCTGTTGGCTGAGTATAGGAATCATCCGTGTCTATCAATATCTTTATGTCTTCTTCTGAGAATCCATAGCGCTCTATAAGGCATTTCTGCATTCTTATCACATCGTTTATGCAGCCTTTCAGCTCTGCCTTCGTGCCTGGATAGTTGCATCCTATCAATACTGCTTTCTTTGCCATTGAATCAATCAATTTCTCTGCGCAATTCTGTTTGTCTCCGTTTGATCAAAGGTAGATCAGATAGATGGAAAGCGTTTTGTTTTTTGTGGGTGGAGCTCCTTGACAATTGGTTGGCAAAATTGCTTTCAATATTTATCATCAATATAAATAAATAAATAAATAATTAATTAATTAAAGCCTTTCCACTTATTGGCCAAAAAAAAAAACCACTTTTTTGCTTGGTAATGCTTTGCCGACTTTCTTTCTTTTTTTTAAATTAGTTGTCAACCTAATTTATGCCATAACATGGGCTATTATTATTAATGGAATTGACAAAGTTGATAAGTATCTAAATATCACTCTTAACTCGGGAGAGTGAATATAATAATAAAAAATTACAATTCAAATCAATTTGAGTTTACATTGGAAACACATAATCCAAGGTAATATACATTTAAGTTTTAATTATATTAAATATGATATGATATAACAAAAAATATTATTGTTGTGCCAAATCATGTTTATCATCTTGATTTATCAAATGGCTTGACAAATCTTCAATTAATTTATTTAACAACACTTGATAATTGTCATAATGATTTTAAAGATTACCAGACGAATTTGAAAAAAATAAAAAAAAATAGAGTCACCATCAATTTTTTTTAATTAAATATGATTGGTTACTTATTAAAATTTATTTTTTTAATAAATTAATTAAAATTTATTAAAAAATAATTTTTAGGTTTGCAAAAAACAGTATAAATTTAGAAGTCAATTATGCATAAAGAAATATTAACACATCCACAATACCCATTTGAAATGGTACTAATTAATCATATATTATCTTTTAATATTGACAAAAATAATCTTAATTTATGGTATTTAAAAATTAATCTTCTTAATTTTCTTTAAAAACGTATTTTTAATTTTTTAGTAAGCTCAAAAAGTAAATAAGAATCTTATATTGAAAAATTTTCAAAAATATTCTAATACTCAAGCAATAGTAAAAAGAATTCTCACATAAAAAACTTTTAAAAATCACTACTCAAAATTCTCAAAAATCTTATTTTCATTGATTCATATTTATTTTCAATATTTATTTTTGAAAAACATAAAATATAATATCTATGAATAGCATAGAAAATAGTATTTTTTAAAACTTATTTCTAAAAAAAAAAAAAGAGAAATATTTATCAAAAATTAATTTATATGCTCCAATACATTTATGATATTTTTGATAAATTTTTTTACCTAAAGATTTCTAAAGAATCACCACTCAAATTTTTTTATGATCTCATCTTTGGAGATTTCCTTTTATCTGATTTTGAAAAAAACTGAAAGTCATAAAATAATATAACTATCTTTAAACGCCTTTTTGTTTATTAAGAAAACTGTTCAAATTATAGAAAACAATTATAAAATGGAAACTTTCATATATTAAAAAGAAACTTCTAAATATTCTAATACTTTAATAATTTTTAAAAAAAATTTCTCGCTTAGAAAATTATCGGGAATCACAACACAAACTTCTCAAAATCCCATCATCGAAAATTTTTATTACTTTAAAAATCATTTAATAATATCATTATCTATAAACAAATTTATTTCCAAAAAACATAAATGAAACTACTCAAATTAAGAATAATGATAAAATAAAAATTTTTCGTATTGAAAAGAAACTTTTAAATATTCAATACTTTGGTAATTTTTAAAATTCCTTGTTTAAAAAATTTTTTGAAATCACTGCTCAGACTTCCCAAAGTCCTATCATCGAAATTTTTATTTACACAAGATCATGTAATGTAAGACAATAAAAAAAAATATGAATATGGAAACATATATATTTGTCATGACTTGATCTTCCTTAATTATTCTCCAATTATGAATAACACCTTTGAAGGGAACAAAGTAAATAAAATTTTTATTGAAAGTTTTTCTAGATACCCCGATACTTTAGCAGTATTTTAGAAAAATTATCTTATCTAAGGATTTCTTAAAAAACCTTTAATATAGCCACCTAAGAAACAATTAAAATTGATTGATGACTTTAGATGGGTATCTTGTATTTATTAAGATGTTTTATTTGATGTCTTATTTTTTTTATATTTGGCAACTTTTTTAATGCATATGTTACATATCAAATATCATATATGCCAAAATAAATGAATAATAAAAAATGTAAAATAATCATACAAAAGAATAATTACAAAAACATAATGTACACATGAGGTTTACAATAATAAAATCCTACTCTTTAAACCCTAAGTCTCTTAGTTTGAATATATACATGATGTGATGGAGCAAATAGACCAAGAGAAGCTGAATTTAATGCTGGAGGATTAGGCGGTGCTCCCATCAATGCTAGAGATATGATGCGTAGGGAATCAGACAATGTTGCCACTAGTGCTAAAAGTAAGGATAAAAAGGAATTAAGTTGTGCTATCGTCGAGGTTGGAGGTTAGGAGCAAGTGGGATCATGCAAATCGAAGATGGTTTAGGAATTGATGTATGCAACCTAGACAAGATGTCATGTGCTCTGAAAACCACATCTCTCCATACATCTAATCTATGATGTAGACCATTGAAAATAGTAATTCGAAGAACTGCTAATACCTATAAGCTCACATACAAAATTTTAAAAAGGAAAATCAATATAAAAAACATGTAATTATGTATATTGTATAAGTAATTAGTATAAAATTTATAATTTACTATATCCTTGGTAGACCTACTAATAACTAAGGCAATTAGGATTGATTGAAATCTAGATCTACGCATTAGATTATCAATGTAACAATGAGAAACTAATGCATACCAAGCATCATAATCCGATGAAGACTCATCCAGTCTATCAAATTGACACCTTAAATGATCAACAGGCATAATGTGCATATTTCATTAATCCAAAAATTGATTCAAAAAGCTATATGCCACCTCATACATATTGGAGAATGCACCACAATTGGCTCGACATGACGCTAAAAAGGTCAAAAAAATGTTTTGTACATAACCGAATTATCGTAACACCTTTTCTTAATGATATGGCTCAATGATAGCCCCACACATCATACACCCAAAGAAATAAGCAATCTCTAGTAAAGGGTGATATTGTTACTATATTTCATAAAGGCTCTAACACACCCGAACTGATGATAAGTCATCCAACTACTCCCATAGTTACTATAGTGAATCGATATACATATGGGGCTTCCATTACTGTGCATGAAACTGATCATCATAATATCTCATGTTGGCTACTAGATCAAGCATAAAAAAGTGTTCATAAATCCAAGCCTCCATTTACATCAAACAAACATAAATTATATAATATAGAGACATGAAGAAATGTAATATAAACAAATATAACTAATAAATAAATCATGAAACTAATGTAATTAATATACCTGAAGAAGTGTAATATAACCAGCAATCTGATGAACCTGAGCTCTGCTTGATATGCCCAGCTGTTTGTATATATACATCAGGGAAGCTGCCCCCTAAGCATATGTACTAATGGTGCTCAAGTCACTGAACAAACATAAATACCCCATCGATACTTTATCTATATTCTTGTCGACAAAAAGTGCACATCCTAATAGATGAAGCAAGAAAGCTCTAGTAGTACACTCCACATCTTGATTAGAAACGCTATTGATAACACCTTTAAATGTATCTACAACCACAGCAGCCTGACAAATACGTTACGAGAAATCCTATCTTAATGGATGCTATAACCTTTGAAACTCCGAATGACTTCACCAATAACGTATTTGCCTTATCTGTTATCAACTTTTGAACTAATATCATCACCTTCCTAACAGGTATATTAAGAATAAAATAGACATCATCCAACGTGATCATCATCTCATTAAATAGTAGATGAAAGGTATTTGTCTTTGGCTTTCACTACTTATTAAATGCTAACATTATCGTATTGTTGGACATACGATAGGTGTAATCGATTAAAGGTAGCAATCCTAACTTAACAACATGATCATGAATACGCTGTTGAAAAGCATTTAGAGGCCAATGTATAACTTTGCCCCCTGGTTGATTTCTTTTAAGGTAGTTTGCTCCTATAAAAATAATAATAAATAAAAACTAATTATTAATTTTACATTAAATAAGTAACAAAAGTAAGCATCAATCATCAATCTCATTTACTTTATTACCTGGCCATTTTGTATTTGTGCTACAATATGAGTGTCGAAACTTGAAAGCAAAGAAGTATCTATTGGCCCTTTAGAAAATGGCTTTGGTGGATGAATAACTGGCTTTGCGAGATCAACATCTGACTGCTCTATGGGCTACTGTGTTGGATCAACAACCGACTTATGTACATGATCATTAGCTCATCATCTCCTCTTAGAAGTAGTCAGATGCCTTCAAATATCGACTATAGCATGTCCACTACCTCAATTGACACCATCTCCTCTTGTTCGTGCCATATCTATTTTGACAAATATTAAATGATAACATATTAGTTCTTGAAGTAAATATACATGACTTAATAAGTACATAATCATAAATGCATGGAATATCAAAGTATTGTGGGTTTTTGAACATTTGTAAAAGATTTTCGAAAATGGATTTTTAGAAGTTCTTAAAGGCTTCCGGACATCCATTTTCGAAAATTCATTTTTGGAATGTCTTAAAGGCATCTGGACATCCATTTCTGGAAACTTTTAATAATTTTCAGAAGTGGATTTCCAAAAGTTTCAAATTGCTCACAATAATTTTAGCATAAATTCTTACAAAGCTAAATATGAAATCAAACGAAAAAAATAAAAAAAAGACAAATGATTTACTTCTAATTTTATACTTTCTAACTTGAAATAGGTGAAATTTCCTTTGAATGTGACTTGATTAAGGCTTAATCCTTTAGGATTTTTGGTTGGGAAGAGAGAGAGAAAATAACGTGTTTGGTAAATTTATGTTTTGGGTGTGAAGTGTGTCAAGTAAAAATTTTAGTGTTAAAAGTAGGAGGTGTGTTGAATAATTTTTTTGTTGCAAATATCAACTTACTGAGCAAACTTAAATTGCCCAACTTGTGAGAATTTATGTCTGGGTCACTTCAACAATAAAATCAATATGTGATCACTTTATCATCATTAGAGAGAAGATATATACAAAAAACTAGTATGTTACTTGTGCAATGCACGAATTATCTTGCTTTTTTAATTTATTTTTAATTATTTTTCAATTAATTATTTTTTCAATTGTAATTGAAACCCTTTTTTTAGGAGATTTAGTTTGTGATCTAACAAGTTAAAAACTAATTATTTAATCTAGTTATTTGTTATCTATTTAATAGGTAAATATAAATAATTTATGTGTGTAAAAAAAATTATTTTCATGATGATGCATAAGATAATTTCTAATTTTATGTTATTTATCAAATAAATATATTTAAAAAAATTATTAGTTATCCAAATTTTTAAAATTTAAAAAAAAAAAGACAAAATCATATATATCTAATTATTTATGCTTGAAATTAATTTATAGTTAAAATACAATGAAAAAAATCCTATAAATCATAGTTAATTATAATGTTATTTCAAAAATCACAAATTATATTTTTAATTTCAATTGTTTTTCTCTTGCCAAATAATCTCATACACTTTAAGTATGATAATATTATTTATCATATGAAAAATATATAATTTTATATTAATTAAATCTTAGAAGGTTAGTTAAATAAATTTAATTCAATTAAACTAATAAAATAAAGTAGAAAAATGTGTATTTTAAAATTCATATTCATGTTTGATTAATGAATGTTTTTCAAAATTCAAGCAAAGGAAAGTGTAAAAAAAAAAAAGGCAAATGGACCATAATTGAATATAATTTTTTAACTTTATTAGAAAGTAAACTTGTTCGTTAGTTGGATTATGGGTCAGATTTATGATTTTATGTATAACTTTTTAAGTATAGATTTAAAATATTATTATATTAAAAAAATTATTTAATTTTAAATTTAAAATATATTTAATATTATAAAATTTTAACATTTTAATAATAAATATAAATTGAATAGGTGATTTGTGTAAGACTTGAAACAGAATCTAAAATTTAAAAATGTTTACAACTAGATGCCATCGAATTTATAGACACTTTTTAATTTTTTAAATTCATATTTTTTAAAATTTATATTTAAGAAAATATCAAGTACTTACTAAATGAGATTTGATTTAAAAAATAAAAAAGAATGAAATCAAATTTGATTTCAATTTATCCTAACTTCTTTATAAATAAAAAGAGTGTTATGACTTTGAAGAAAAATAAGTATAACAGATTATAAATTTTTATACAAAATCATAATTGATAGGCAGATTATATTATATTTATATATAATATGATTTCAAAATCCAATTAGTTATTGTTATTTGTAACAATATTTTGATATAACTATTAGGTTTAAATCAATAATATGATTTCAAAATCCAATTAGTTATTGTTATTTGTAACAATATTTTTAATATAAATATTAGGTTTAAATCAATGTAATCAAGTAGTAATGAATGCTAACACTATCATACTGTTGGACATATGATAGATATTATCGATCAAAAGCAGCAATCTCGACTCAACAACATAATCATGAATACGCTGCCGAGAAGCATTTAGAGGTCAATGCTATAACTTTGCCTCTTGGTTGATTACTTTTAAGGTAGTTCGCTCTTATAAAAACAACAAGCAATAGAAACTAATTATTAATTTTACATACATTAAGTAAGTAACAAAAGTAAGCATCAATCATCAGTCTAATTTAATTTATTACCTTGCCATTCCATACTTGTGCTACAATATGCATGTCGAAATTCAAAAGCAAAGAAGTATCTATTGGCCCTTCAGGAAATGGCATTAGTGGATAAACAATCGACTCTATGAGATCAACGTTCGACTACTTTGTGGGCTGTTGTGTCGGATCAACAATTGGCTTATGTACATGATTATCAGCTTATCATCTCCTCTCAAAAGTAGTCAGACGCCACTGAATATCGACTATAGCGCATCCACTACCTCAATTGATGCCTACTCTTCTTGTTTGTGCCATATTTATTTTTACAAATATTAAATGATAGCACATTAGTTCTTAAAGCAAATATACATGACTTAATAAGTACATAATCATAAATGCATGGAATATCAAAGTATTATGAGTTTAGGGACATTTGTAAGGGATTTTTGAAAATAAATTTTTAAAAGTTTTTAAAGGTTTTTAAAAGCTTTTCAAATATTCATTTTCGAAAGCTTTTAAGAGTTCTTAAAAATCCATTTTTGAAATGTCTTAAAGGCATCCAGACATTCATTTTTGAAAACCTTTAATAACTTTCGAAAGTGAATTTCTATAAGTTTTAAATTGCACCCAATAATTTTAACATAAATTTTTACAAAATTAAATATGAAATCAAACATAAAAATAAAAAAAAAATGATTTACTTTTGATTTTATACTTTTTGATTTAAAATGGGTGAAATTTTTTTTAAACGTGGCTTGATTCTTAATCTTTTAGGATTTTTGGTTGGGAAGAGAAAGAGAAAATAAGATGTTTGGATTTTTTGTAAATTTATATTTTGGGTGTGAAGTATGTTAGACTAAAAATTTTGGTGTTAAAAGTAGGGGATATGTCGAATTTTTTTTTTTTTTTTTGCAAATATCAACCCACCGAACAAACTTAAATTGCCCAACCAATCAGATACAAAGAAGACTAAAATACCCTTAAACTTGTGAGAATTTCTGTCTGGATATATATATTATCCGGAGAGTGGTCTTTGTTTTTTATTAAGATTTGCAACATTTAGATCTGGGAGTCTTCTTTTTGATTTCTGCCATTTTTCGTGGTATCTCTCTTTCTCTCTTTATTATCTCAATGCTCAGCTTTTCTAAAATAATTCAATTTGTTTGATGCCCTATATGGGACTGATAAATGCAGTTGCATTTGGGCTTTGCCTTCCTCCAATTCAAGGTCATGGATTCCTCGGCTGTGCTTTTAAACCAGCTCAAGGTGATGATAGTTCCCCCGCTTAGCCTGTTCTTCTTTTTTTTTTTTTTTTTCTTTTCTTTCTCAACACAACTAGTAGTTTAGTTTCTTATAATTTATATGAATAAATGTTGAATCTCAGGGTGCTGAGCCTTTTTTCTTGTTAGCTGGTCCCAATGTGATTGAATCTGAAGATCACGTTCTAAGGATGGCTCACCACATCAATACCATCACTACCAAGTATGATTTTTTTTAATCATTTGTGCAAAAACGCTTTAGATTGGTTGCTTTACTAGAAAATGTCCAAAACCTATGATCCTTTTTTGTCTGAATGATAATCTTTGTTTTGTAATTTTTTTAGGCTTGGGTTGCCTTTGGTTTTCAAATCAAGCTTTGATAAAGCTAACCGAACATCCTCCAAATCATTTCGGGGTCCTGGAATGGCTGAAGGCTTGAAGGTTCTTTCGTTTTGTTTCTTTGCTTATTTACATAATATGGTTGCTTTCATTACAATGAATGATACATGGTTGCTTTCACTGTATTTTGTCCGTGATTCTATGGTTACTACTTGTACATCCATCCATGTAACTACTTGTGTGCATTTGTTTGATGAGAATCTTCAGAGTTTGTTTTTAAGTTTGTTATTGAACTTAGGATGTGTTTCTACTTTTGGTAGGGTTTCGTTTTTCCTACTATCTTGTGACAATTTGTTCAGGAATTGCAATATGATGTCTTAGATGAATTAAAATTTTTTGCAACTTTGTCTTGGAAAAGCAATACATTAGTGATATTCATATTTACAATTTTTGTTTTGGTTTGCAGATCCTTGAGAAAGTAAAAGTATCATATGACATTCCTATAGTAACTGATGTCCATGAAACTATTCAGGTATGCGGAAACCTTGTATGTTATCTATTAACTTTGTTTTTTTATTTTAAATCTAAGTTCAGGTCTTGATATGGTACATGGTGCATGTGATTTCTTTGGATCATGATTTTTTTTTATTCCAATACATCTCTGTTTGGAAAATTGTATATACTTCTGCTAGTGTACCAATAATATTATTGTGCAATTACTTGTGTGGATGATGAGAAGAAAGTAATGTGGCTAATGCACTATCCTACTCTCTTAGTAGGAAATATTGACTTCAGACTTGATGGACAAGCCTTATGTGAATCATATATTGTTTAAAGTAGTTGTTTGGAGGAATCAAATTTGCCATGTCAGACTCCATTAATAACAAAACTTTGTAAATTTTTTTGGTTCTGGATTTTCCATATTGTTAATCTATCTAGGAACAAAAAATGACATATCAAATTGGCAGTCAGCTGGTTATGAACCTGTACACCTCTTGCTGGGGCAGTCAAATAGTTTATTTATTCTTGGCATTTATTCAATAGGCTGCATAACTACACATATCTGTTTGTTTTATCAGTGTGAACAGGTTGGAAGAGTCGCTGATATTATTCAGATTCCAGCATTTTTATGTCGTCAGGTTAAGCTGATATATTATTATTAACAGCACCATTCCATGTTTAAAAAAAATTTATGGTCGACCTTGGTCCTTGGTTGACAATATTTTGTCAATTTTTGTTTGACAGACAGATCTTCTAGTTGCTGCAGCCAAGACTGGAAGAATTATCAATATCAAGAAAGGCCAGTTCTGTGCTCCTTCTGTGAGTGTTCCATTTTTTTTGTACTTTCATAAAATTCAAAACCCTAAATATTTGTTTTGATTAAGAACTATCAAGAATAAGAAAATTATACTTGTTTGTTTTAATTATACATGGATGTTCATTGTAATTATGCAATATTTGTAGGTCATGGTAAATTCTGCTGAGAAGATTAGATTGGCTGGGAATCCAAATGTGATGGTTTGTGAGAGAGGCACCATGTTTGGCTATAGTAAGTTATTCTGGAGTTTTTGACCAAATGAAAAAGGTTATTTTGGATCTATATTTAGGTTGTTAAGAAGGTTTCCTTGGTTCAATATATAGATTTATTGGTTGATTTGTGTGTACACGCTCATGCAAATGAGCAGAAATAAGGCAATAATAGAGAATGTTAATGGATATCAGTTCTCAAATCTGTCTACTAATTTTCACACGTACGCTTCAAGAACTTATATAGGAAATGACAGAATTAGGTTGGGTGTGCCAAGAGTGGATCATTTGATTTGTCAACTGATTTTAAAGCATTAAAATTAAATAATCTAAATTTTATATAACATTACTTATTTCTCCCCTTCACATGTAGGCCAATAAACAATTGATAACAATAGCCCTATAAAGTAGACATGGAAACAAGGCAACAAATAACACGGCTCTGATATGTTGTTAACGTATCCAACCCACAACTAGTTAGCAATATGTAGAGAGGGCAATCTCAATATAATGCCATAACTAACCCTCTAAACCCATGTGGGATAACACTAGGTAAAACATGACAATATAAGAAAAATGTAAGCATGGGCTGGGGAATTCTATTTCTTTGAGGCATATATACAATCATGGCAGAGATTAAAATTTAACTGGTTAATGCTTATTTTTACTTTTCTTTTATTAGGTTTCACACACAGACCTTGGTTGGGGGTGGTGATGGGGTTGGGTGGGTTATGTGTGCTCTATTTTCCTCTGGGTTTATGCTTTTTAGAAGAAATCTTTGTCATCTTCCACATTTTCTATACAAGCATCTAAAAGCAGATCATACCTCCCTGCATGGTATTTTCAAGGAGCAGAAGGTATGACCACCAGAAAGTTAACATTACAAAACATGGTTTGGGGAACATTGCAGGAAGGCTGCAATTGCCCCTGCCTTGCCTACAGCATGTTAATTTTTGGCAGTTTTATCTATAGGTACTCATGGATTTATGCTTGTGCACTTCTGCATTCTAATATTGTCAATCAACTATTGTTTTGGTGTATTGGAATTTTAACTGTAATTCAAGTCTAACATTACCTTTAATGACTATTAAAATCAAATTTATGGATGCCTTAGTTAATTTTCCTTTCGCTTTTTGACTGATCTTACAGCATTGGTTTTGATTTACAGATGATTTGATTGTTGATCCACGAAATTTGGAGTGGATGAGGGAAGCGAATTGTCCTGTAGTAAGCAAATAACTTATGTTATGCAATTTGTACAATTTCTGATGTTTCTTTTCCACCTGAAAATATTTAAACCACGTGCTCACACACTCAGGTGTAGGCCTTCTCTTGTCCTTTTGTCTCTGGAGCTATGCCTGGTTGAATATAGTCTTTGATGTTTGCTTCAGATTTTGTTCGGTGATAATCTGCCAAGATGCTTCCACCATAAATGAAAAAATATCTTTGCTAATATATTCCAGATAACTATGGTTTTTTTGCCTATGCCATTCATTTGTATTATGTCTCTTCCTGTGCCGTTTATTGGTGGACATCAATACCTGATTTAAGTATTTGACTCCAGATAGCAGATGTCACACATTCATTGCAACAGCCAGCTGGAAGAAAGGTGGGAACTTTGCATATTACTTTTTGTTTTCTAAAACTAGAATGTCTGGATTGCTCTCTTGGTATCATTAATGATGTTGGTGGTTAACCAATATTGTGATATTTTATATGTCCTTTTAATCAGAATTATTCAAGAGGTTGGAAATAACCTATCACTTGTTTCAAATTGGGATAGTTGACCAACATTATTTATTGCTCTTTTGAGGAAAATTTTTATGGCATAGGCAAAGGTAGATGTAATTTTAATCAAAATGGTTTTTGACCTTCATAAATCTGAATGTTACATATTCATTATCATATTTACTCCTTTATTTACTAATCTTTATTGTCCATGGAAATGGTTGGAACTACTCACTTTTGAATGTTGACGCTCCGAGAGCTGTTTCATACCTTCAAGGTTCAGCTTATTTCAGCTCAGGGTTAATTAATTTTACTACTAAAAGGATAATATGGATGATAAGCCTGCTTAGTTGTCTTTTCCTTTTTAATTCTTATTGCCCTATTTCTGCACCAAAGGGAAAGTCAGTGCTACCTCAAACTCAATTGAGTTAGTGAAAAAGCTCTAGACTCAACTCAAACACAAGGTTCAGCATATTTGTAATATATTGAGCTGTGGATTGATATGGGCAACTTTTCTTTTCTTTGCCTCTTTTTCTGCTAAATACTTTTGCTTGCTATAGTTGTTATTCTTTATGCATATAGGTTCTTGAACCTAGTTTGTTTCCCTTTTAGTTTATTAGTTCATTTCTCTTCTGTGATTAATTTTCTATGTAAAATGGTTAAATCCCTGCTTTCTTATATAGTTGGATGGTGGAGGCGTAGCCAGTGGAGGCCTTCGCGAACTGATACCATGCATTGCAAGGACTGCAGTTGCTGTTGGAGTGGATGGAATTTTCATGGAGGTATATATTGCTTGACTGCCTGCTGACAAGCTGTAATGTAAAGTATTTGAGAGCTTATAACTGGAGTTCTGATTGACTTTTACTCAAATTACAATTTACAGCCCTTATCTTTGACTTTGATTATTGAAATTGCATGTGTGCAGAATAAATACTCATATTTTCTATATCAATTTCCTTTTTAGTTTAGGCATCTAAAATTTTCTCTTTGATATTTAGGTGCATGATAATCCTCTGAATGCACCAGTTGATGGTCCAACTCAATGGGTGAGTTAAATTTATAGTTTACACTTCCATAAATACAAGTACATGCTGTCTTTAGGACCTCAGAGAGTGGATTAAGGCTGACAAGCTTAGAATTAGACCATATTATGAAGCTGTAAACTTATCAGAATATGTTTCTTCTTGTTACTGGAGATAGCCTCTGCGCCATTTGGAGGAACTACTGGAAGAGCTAATGGCAATAGCTGTAAGTTCTTTTCCCATCCTTGATGTGAATCATTATTTTTTATGTTTCAAGTATTACATATATATACATACATACATATATATATATATATATATATTTATATATGCAGATGAGATGCTATCAAATTGTTTCAATCTCCCTGAGATGTCTAAGCATATATCTTTTCTTGGACCTTTCTGTTTTGCTGTCCCTCTTTTTCTCAGGATCTAAAGAAAGGGAAAAGACTTTTTTATAACATTAAAAAATTTCTGGTTCAAATGTTAATACTGGTATTGATACTGAAACTAATATCAATAGAAACAATGTGTCAGAATGGTTTTTTTATTAAATTCAGATTGGTGATTAAGGCAGTGGGTTTTCTTTTGTGAGATTTGAAGCCCACACGTACAAAATATTTGAGGAAATTGAGAAGAAGTGAATATTTGAATCTTGGTCCCAAGTGATGAATGCTAATAATGGCCAAAGAAAGAATTCTGGAGGGAACTGAAAAAGGTAGTATTTTATTATGACAATGGGAGTACAAGGAGGAGGAAACAAGTTGAATGGGGAAGGTAGGGATATGTTTTAGTTGTTGGAATCTGAAATCATTGTCATTGAATGTCAGAGAGGCTGAATGGGCCTGTCAGAAGATTTGTCAAAATCTACCTGAAAGGGTGGAAAACCAATTTAATTTGTTTGCAGGAAACTGAGATTAAGAGAGAAAAATTATGGATAGTTTGTAACAATTAAAAATTGTGGTTAGAATGTCTTTCCCACGATGGTTAATGCAGATGGGATGGTAGTGCTTTGAGATGAAGTAGTAGGGATGCATTTGGCCATTTGGTTCAATCTTTTATAAGATTTGAACTGAGCCAGTATATTTGTTTTTCCTATTTTGAAGCCTGAACCGACCCTAATGGATGAAAAACCTAAATTGATCGGAACTAAAACAGTAAGTAGAAAACTTGAACAACTTTTCAAAAATAGAAAACATAATAAAACAAAACAATATTTGATCCAGTATGAATTCACTAGGTTTGCAGACCTTTGTATATATATGGTTGGCCGTAATCAAATTGAGTAGTAAACTTCATGAATCTTAATTAAAAGATAAAAATTAAACAAAAAAAGTGATATTATTGGGAAAAATAAAAAATTTTAATAAAAAAATAATGAAATGAGACATTGAAAGAGTAAAGAGAGGGGAAAAGTCTGGGAGGAGGTCTTAATCTTTTGTTTGTTGTCAAAAAAAGTTGGAGAGCTAGAACTTGATCGAGAGAAGGTAGATCCTGGTGTTGAAGGAAAAAGAGAGTTGGAGCGGTGGGATGGAAAGGATATTTGATAAGACAAAACTTTCAATGGAATCTTGCTTTTGTAATGTTTATTTATGACAACAATCTATAGTTGTGTCTTGTTTAAAGAGCTTCCACAAAGTTTTTTTCTGGTTGACTCCTTCAAATCCCATTGTTTCAACTTTTGATCTCTAAAGCTTCTTTTTCAAATAATATGATATTGCATTTAGCATAAATCAATGAAGTAATAACGTTTTGATTCCTTATTTTTATTGGGGGGGGGGGGGGGGGGATTTTTATAAAAATAACTGAAACCAAAACTGAGACCATGAATTTTAAGTTTTAAAACAGAAATTGCATTGAAATTAGTAGAATCTAAGCTGAATCAGTTATCATGGTAGGAATTAATTTTTTTTTTTGGTGGCTTTATTTCTTAGCCATATGAAGTAGAAGTATATTATTGGTTGATAGTTTCCTAACTATTTTTTGGTATCTTGTGTGCTTCAATTGGACTTAGATAAATTTTAATTGTTGTTTACAAGTGCAAAATGTTCGGCAAAAAGGCAAGAGAGGTTATCCCTTTTTGGCTTTGACTATTCGGCATTAGACTGAGATGGGTAGGTTCATTGTTCATTAGAGGTGATGTTAACTTGTTTGTTTTCCAAATGAAAGAAGTACAAGGAATTCTTGAAATGTGAACACGAGAGTTTTGGAATTGTGCGTGATTATGCACTGGTTGACTTTCTTTATAAGTGTTGAATGCGGACTTGGTCTAACTTTAGAGAGAAAACATGCTTTTTCAGGTTAGATAGATTTCTAGTTTCGTTGATTAGGACACCTTTTGAATATGATTCTAAAGATTCTACCTCATCCTATCTCAGATCATCACCCAAGTATTCTTGATTGAGATCCAGCTCTATTCACTTTTGAGAATGTGAGGCATTAGGCACTTGTTCAAGGAAGGTAGGTAGGGCTGAGCAAAGAAAAATCAATTTGAACTTTAATATTCGATTAAGTTGAATTTCAATAATTTTGGAGCTGTTTTGTTTTGAAACTTAAATAGCGAAAGGATTCTTTTAAATCATTTTGGCTTGAATAGCACATTTTGACTTGGACTTTCATCATATTGATGTGAAGACAATTTTCTTGAATGGTGTTCTTGGAGAGGAGGTTTATATGGTATAGCATGAGGGATTTGAGGAATAAAGGAAAGAGCACTTAGTGTGTCTACTTAAAAAGTCCATTTATGATGCAAGAGTAAATATTCAACCTAAGCCTACTGAATTCATCAACTTTTGGAGTTATTCAGGTTGGCAAGAAGTATGGAGGCCGTTCACTAGGGTTTTTTTGCATTTTACAGGCAGTTGATTTGGAATTTTTATTTGTTGAAAAAGTAACACGATTGGGAGCAGGAGACTTTCTCCAAAATTCAACTACTTTATGCCAAGAGATAGGCTACTCCATATGACAGGGATAGTTTGAGGTGATATTGTTCTATTGGCAACAGTAGAACTTGTGAAGAATAATTCTAGAATAGTTTGTTAGAATTTTACTTTGAAAGCTCTTCAGAAGATGAAGGCCCCAAGAAAGGGTTTTTTTTTTTATTATTATTATTATTTGGAGGGAGAGCTAGAAGGACTATTGGATACTAAGTTTTATAGTTACTATTTTTTATTTATAAAGCAGCAATTCTTGGATATACTACCTATGCTTTTGTTCCTTTATTGTTTAGTAATATGGCATTGTGCATTAATTGGCATCCCCTTGCTGCCTTTTAGTGCATCATTTTCTTATTTTATCATATAAGTAGGAATGTTGGTGTTCATCATTTGTTTAATTGATGTTTTCCAGAGGGTAAGCAAAGGGAAGAAACGCTTCAACATTGATCTCACACCATATTCTGATTAGGAAGATTTCAAGAGTTCTCTAAGCGGGTAAGCAGGTAATTGTCGTTTCATTCATGGCATTATTTATGTTGAACTAGCAGTTTTATGTCATCACAAAATTCCTAAAGGACAAAGCAAATGTCTTCTGGATATAACTCCATATAAACAATACTATTCTGTTGTTTAATAATGTCATTTGGCTAAAAGCAAAGATTAGAACTTGAATTATATTCCATTTGAGTGCATGATGTAACTTATAATTTGCTTTTGTACCCCATTTTGGCATAATAATGTTTATAATAATGCATCATAATTGTCACACTAATATCAACTTAATAATCACAATTAAACACAAATAAGAAAAAACACTTTGCTTCTTCCTTTTTGTTCTCTCTTATGTTGGCATGGGAGGAGCTTCTGAGTTTGCTCAATTCCCTTCACCAACAAAGGAAGTTAAAAAGCAACAGAACCTTACTCAGAATTTAGAAGCTCCTTTTGCACAAAATGAAAAGAAAAAAAAATAAGGCCCGAAGGAATCTGAAGCATCCAATCTCTTCTTTCTACTTCACATGATTTTTTTCTATTTTTCTTTTTCCTTGTTCTTGGCTCCTTGTCTCTTCCCTGCTTCGCTTCACCATTGTGCAGCCAATCTCTGGCACCAGAGAAATGTTGATCTCTCTTTATTTCATCATTTTTCTTTTCTTCTCATCGCTCGATTATTATTATTTTTTTATTTTTTTCCTGAACTTAGATTTGATTGTGTTGATGTTGGTGAGATTTGAGAATATTAGATTACTAAGAATGTTTTATTGTATGTAGCGTTGCTGCTGCTGCGGCTGCTCATGTTGGAAGTATCATCCTCATGTTTTCGGATTTTCAGGTGATTGATACTTGAATGCGCCAATGTGATGGCTGTGCGGTTGTCATTATTTCATATATAGGATTTCGCCCACAAATGGTAATTGAGCATTCAACCTAAGTTGACCTAGGCAACTTATTTTTTGTATTTGTAGGTGCATTATTATGACTTCAATTTTCTTTTTTTTTTTATGTGACATAAATGCTAAAAAGTTAGTTTCTAGAAGTTGTGTATGTGATGTAGTTGATGCTAAAGTAAGTACATTTATTAGTTAACATTTACTTTTTTTTTTTTTACTAATTTTAATGTAACTTAAAAAAAATTAAGTGATTGATTTAGAAGTCAACAGGTTATTTTATCACTTAAATATATAATTTCATTAATCTCTCAAAATTTCAGTTTTAAGATAACTTTTAATCTTTACAAAAAAAACTTACAGAACGTGTTGGGTTGGGTGACTACTCGTGACCCATGCTTGTTTTAAATTAAATCCATCACTTTTTATAACTAAAAATGGAACATATAATACATTTACAATGGTTTTGTTAAATTTAACCATATGCATTTTTATTTTAAGGCAACCAATTTAAAAAGCTACACTCCCAGTTTCTGTCAGTAAAGTATTATATATTAAATTTTTAATTTTAATGAATAAAATTTAAGCTACACTAAAAAAAAAAATTTTAATTGAAAATAAAAGATAATAAAAATAAAATAAAAAGTAAAAATCAATCAAACAGATTCATTTTGTTTAACTTACAATTTTACGTACTCTCAGGTTCCTTGCTTGTTACAATGGAAAATTGGAAGGAAAAGAGACGAAAATGGATTTAAATTCTTGCACTTTGGAAGTGATTTTTAAAGTCATAATAGGTCATGCAACGGCTAGAATGCCTTTAACACCAAGAATGCGGGCGTGGAAACAAATCTGAAATCCTTTAAATTCAGCTAATTTTCGACTGTGTTTTTGGGGTGAACTGCAATTGTGAGAGTTTTTCTTAAGTCAAAATATGTGGTGCTTTTACAACTTGGCATTTACATTGAATGTTGGTGAAATTCAACGCCAAATGTATAATGAAAAATCCATTTCACAATTGTATCCTCCTCAACTCTCTCTCTCTCGCTCTCTTTCCCTGTTATCTAGAGATTATAGTTATACAGAGAATAGGTACTTTCTCATTCTCCCGTCATATGCATCTATCATTTCGTTCTAACTTCTAACTCATGTTTTATTTTTAATTGGCTGCTAATGAAGTTTTGGTTCTTAATCCTTTCTTTCCCATTGGTTTATTGGCCAAGAGGCCTCTTTGACCACATATTTTGTTTTGTTTTTCCTTCTCAATCCTCTTGGTTTTAGTTGTCATTCACCTTTTCCATTTACCCTTCTGCAGTTTTTAAATGTTTTTTTCTCTCATGAATTCTTGTAAGTTTATTGGTATTCGCTGTTAGAAAACACTTTCTGATTAAGTAATAACTTAATAAAAGAGAAATCAAGTTATATCAATAAATACATCAAGTTATATCAATAAATACTTTAAGCTTAGGTTAATATTATGATTTTATATTTAAAAAAAATGTGTATAAAAATTATATAAAAATGTAATCGATTGTCATACTTAGAACAGTTGGTTATCGTTATCGTTTAAAATGAGTAGTTAATTGTCAAATGCATGGTGTCGACTTCTTTATCAAACAGAAGTTAAACTCAAATTCAATATAAATAACAATCGATTTTTAGTCTAGAGCAATCGACGGCTATGTCTAGAAAGATAGTGGAATTGATTCCAAATTCTTGTGGAATCAATTGCCATTGGTTTATAGTTTTTTGGATTTAATCTATGTTATAACCAGTCAACTAATATTGAAAGGAGTCAATTGCTCTATAAAAGGCCGAATGTTTGGAAGCTTTTCTGAAATTGAAAAGAGTTGACCTCTATATGAAGTAGTCGACAGCTCATACATATTCTATATGAAAGAAAGAGTCAATTACTCTATAGAGGAGTTGGCTACCCAATGTTTGAAAGCATTTTGGAAATTGAAAAATATAAAGAGGAAGTCAATTGCTTTTCTGAGGCAACCAACTGCTTTGTATGAAAAGTTATAATTTTTAAAAATATAAAAAATTACTTTTTTTTGTATGAAATATTTGATTATTTAAATAAATAAATATGTTTATAATATTTCAAAGAGACATTTATAATCAAAAGGAAATTATCTTTAATCAAAACAACACAATCAAGGAGAAAAATCTTAGGATTCAATCTCTATTTATAGAGATTGATAGGAGTTCATTTAGATATCTAATTCAATTTCAAATTACTCTCTTCTTTCTCTTATTTTTTTTCCCATTTAAAAGCGAGTTGCTTTAGTATTGTTTGTTACAAAAAATTTTGCAAAGACAAGGTCTTTCGTTCCTACTAAGGTGTGTGTCATAACAATTTTGAGACTACTAAACAAATTTTTTAAAAAATAAAAATAAGAATTTATCATCAATTTTTTTTGGTTATGTATGATTAGTCACATAAAAAAATTATCATTTTAATATATTTTAATTTTAATTAAAATTTATTTTAAAAAATAATTTTTGGATTTAAAAAAAATAATTTTTTGGTTTACGAACAATGAAGTTGGATTTAGGAGTATAGTTATAATTACTCATAAAACACCTATTTTAAAAACGATGCCAATTAATCATGTGTTATCATTTAATCTTAATAAAATTGATCTTAATTTCGATATTTAAAAATAATTTCCTTAATTTGTCTTTTTGTAACCAAAAACTTCTTTGTCCTTTTAATCAATTTTATTTAATTTTTCTCATTTTTTATAAAAGCAATTTTTTTTTTGTTTGAAATACAAACAAAAATCTAATGTATTGAAAAATTTCGAAACACCTCAATACTTTGACAATATAAAAAATGTTTTTTTCACTTAAGGATTTTTTAAGAATCACTATTCGAACTTCTTTAGAATCTTATTCTTGGAGACTCTCATTCACTTTCATAATTAACATATATTTATGACATGCAAATAAGAAATATGAAGTTATTTATTAATTGATACAATTTTAAAATTTTACTATTTTAGAAAAAAATATATTTTATAATTAAATTAAAAAAATTGAAAGCATTTTGTTTTGAATATTCCCCTAAATATCCTAATACATCGACGGTAATTTTGAAAAATCTTCTCACTTAGGGATTTTTAAGAATCGTTACTCGAACTTCCATAAAATTTCATCATAAAAAATTCATGCTTTTTTTAAATCATTAATAGTTCACCCTAAAAGTTTATAATAATACAATTATCCATAAATAAAATTATTTCCTAAAAATGTATATTTTATAAATATTTTATATACTTATTTCTTTTAAGAAAATTATTCAAATTAAGAGAAAAAATAAATGAAAAATTTTGTATTGAAAAGAGTTTCTAAACATTTCAATACTTTGGTAATTTTTAAAAGATTTTTCTCACTTAAAAAATTCTTAGGAATCACTACACAAACTTTTCAAGTTTCATCGTCAAGAATTCACATTTACTTTCAATTTTCTTTGAAGTATTTTTTTTCTCTTAAAACAATCACTTTTTAAATTCTAAATTATTGTAATTCGATTGTAAAAACCTTTTGTTCATTTGCAACTTCAACCATTCACAAATAAATTCATTTATTTAATGCTAAAATGTTTGAAAAATAAATTAATAAATAAACAAACGAAAGTAAAATAAAATTTATCACAAGTCAGGTTAAAATCCAAGTCAAAATGGCATGACTCAAAGAGTTTGGTTGTAACTTATGCCAATCAAGATCAAATGTTGAATCTAGGAGCTTTAAGTCAAGTCAAGGGTCATAGGATGAGAGTCAGGTAATGGATTGCGAGCCACAGATTGGGTCAGGTCACCAATTTTTTTTTTATAGTTTATAAAAGCTCGAATATTATTTTTTTAATTCATTTTTCCTATTTTCATTCTTTATAAAGAAAAAGCTTCTCTCTTTGGAAGAAAACACTAATCGACAATTCAATATCAACCCAGAATTTGATGGTTGGCTCCATAGCCGTTGTTGTCTCTGTCGTCGATATCGTTCTCAACATCAAATATTTATTAAATTACATCAAAATGCTCATTTTTTCATCTTCTTTCATAATCTCCTAATAATTTTTTCAAAAACTCCACACATACAACTAGATCTATGCTAAAATCTTATGGTATCAATCCAAAAAATTATTACTTTCTACCATTCTAGATGGCCTCAAAATCTACTATGTTACTCTTCCTTTCTTTCTCTTTTTTTTCATTAATTTGGATCACCCAAATCTCTCTTGTCACCATGAACCACCCTAAGTAGTTGCTACTTCTATCGTCATTTACAAGTTAGAAAATGCTCTTTTCTCTCTCCTATTCTATAAGCTCGAAGAGATTCCCTTCAAAATACCTATAAACCTCAAAAACTCCTATGACTAAAACTCTTCTCCTTTTATTTTATGATTTTGGTTTTTTTTTATTGCTGTTGTTTAAGAAATATAAAGACTAGGTTTTAAGAATATGTGTTCCCATGGGACATACTTCATCAATGCCATTCTTCTAAATATGGTCGACATTGTAGAGGTGCAAGAACAATGACAAAGGTGTTACAAATTGGTTTTTAGTGGCCAACTCTCTTTAAAAATGCTCATGAGTTTGTTTCAATGTGTGATAGTTGTCAAAGAGTTGGTAACCTTGTTCAAGGAGACATGCGATGCCCCTCAACAATATTCTTGAAGTTAAGATCTTTGATGTTTAGGGGATCAACTTTATAGGTTTTTTTGTTTCTTTTTATGGAAATCTCAGCATCTTATTTGCAGTGGATTATGTGTCAAAATGAGTGAAAGCAACTACCTTTCCTTCCACTGATGCTAGAGTAGTATTAAGATTCTTAATGAAAAACATTTTCACATGATATGGTACACCAAAGGCAATCATAAGTGATGAAAGATCCCACTTTTGTAATAAGATTTTTGAAGCTCTACTTGTCAAGCATATGGTTAAACATAGAATTAACACAGACTATCACTTTAAACAAGTGGCCAAGTTGAAGCATCTAATAAGGAGATAAAAAAAAATTCTAGAGAAAATTGTGCATTAAATATTGGTCAATTCAACTAAATGACTTTCTATAAGCATATCGCACAGCCTATAAAACCCCTGTAGGCATGTCGCCATAATAATTGGTTTATGGGAATGCATATCATCTTCTTGTGAAGTTAAAGCATAAGCATGTTAGGCAATCAAGAACTTAAACTTTGATTTGAAAGCTGTTAGGGAGAAAATATTACTTTAATTAAATGAGCTAGATGAGTTTAGATTCAAGTTTATAAAAATACCAAGTTATTCAAACCAAAGACTAAAAAGTGGCATGATAGGAAGATTTTGGAGAAACATTTTAAGCCTGGTCAATACGTGTTGCTTTTCAATTCAAGGCTTAAGTTATTCCCTAATAAGCTTAAATTAAGATGGTATGGTCCCTTTATAGTTACCCAAGTTTTCTTTCAAAGAGTCATAGAGATCATGAATGAGAAGATAAATAAACCATTTAAGGTGAATGGGCATTGGTTAAAGAGGTATTTGGGTGGAAGTTTTGATTAGCAAGAGGAAGTTTTCTATTTGGTGAACCGACATATACTCATATGTAACTAATGCTACTTAAGAGATAACCTGAGTTTTAATTTTTTGTTTTTCATACTTAGGGTTACTTTTGTTTATTTCAATTTTCACTAGGGCAAATAATGCTTTGCTTTGTTTGTTATTATTTCATAGGTAAACAAACTTAATAAAGCAGGGAGCCAAAAAGCTAAGGAGATATGCAGCATAGGGATTGACAAAGAACAATCAGATTCGATCTTGGAAAATCAAGGGAGTATCTCTCCTCTGTTAGTGTTTCATTGTTTAATTTTTTATACATTGAGGACAATACGTGGCTTAAGTTGAGGGAGAGAAAATTTGAGACAAAATTTTCAAAATTTTTGTTTTTGTGCTTGAATTGCTTTTGTTTTGAGTCATTATATTAGTTCATTTAATTATTTTCTCATAATCCAATGATAGAAACTATGATTAACTTTGATTCTAGTTTTTAGAAAAGATTAAATGTAGTGAAAGCATGAGATGCAACTTAGTCCAAATGACATAGCATAATGACTGTTTATAAGATGCCTCAAGGGCATACTTAATAAAACATACTGCTTTTACCTAATCTAAATAACAAGACAATGCATGGCATTATAGACATGAATTTACATGAAAAATATCCATCACCCTAATTTGATTTATATGCCATATGATCATCCATTCCTAAGACTACATAATGCATGATCATGGATTAAATGCCACATGTTCATAGTTTATTGAGACGCCTAAGATGTTTAAGGGTTTGTAAGAATTACACCTGAGTAGATCTACCTTATATAAGATCCAATATGATAGTTGTAAATCTAGGCCTGTGAGTTGGGTTAAGTTGAGTAAAGTTTCGCCTTGGCTAGAACTTTTCAGATTGTTAGGCAAAGTTTTAATTGGATTAAGACTTTTGAAAAAGATTTTAGTTTGACAAGACTCTTCAAATAAAATTTAGTGGAATCAAGACTTTTTAAGAGAGTTTCAATGAAACCATGACTTTTTAAGAGAATTTGGTGAACAAGGACTCGTAAGGAGAATTTTGGTGGAAGTGGAAAATTTTAGGAGATGACTCTTTGTGATAACCTTTCAAGCCAATTATCTATTGTGATAATTTGGGAGCCATTTATGCCTCTGCAAATCCAGTACTCCATACCAGAATGAAGCACATTTCCATTGATTTTCACTTTGTTAGAGACAAATTGTCTAAAAGTTAGCTATAAGTTCACCGTATTTTTACAACTAATCAATTGGCTGACATCATGACAAAGGAGACTCCATCTTGAGGGGTGTATAAAAGCATAACTGTCAACAAACGGATAAGTCTAATGAGACTTGATTTATCTTATTTATTTTAAATTCATAGTATCACTATTGATAACTTGTATATTTAAATTGTAGATAGTATTTTACTTAGCTAAATTGTTGATAATATTTTGCTTCATTTCTTAACTTGTATTATATTATTTATATTTGGGAGCATTTACATTCTTTTTTACTACAATTTTATAATTAATCAATTAAAATAAAAAAAAAATTATGTAGAGGTCCATCATTTAAAAGTGTGAGCTTTACATAATTTTTTATGGACTCTACACAATATTAAATTATAATTGGTTAATGAATAGTATTTTTTGGGATTACTTTTAAGGAACCTTTGATTCGCACACTCTAACAGTCATTGAAAGAAAGTGATTCTCTCCTAAACCACTTTCCTTGATATATTTCAAAGAATTTTAAATTCATGTGTAGGTTGCTATATTTGATTAGGGGATTTCAAGATTACCTAATAATATCTTTTATTATATTGCCTTTCATTATATTATTAGTTGATGTTTGTATGTATATTTTGTTAAATTACATAGAACAAAATTATTCTAATGTTAATTATCCCTACACAGAGTAAATAGGCAGATCGATTTTCATGGTAAGGTCGACATAAAGTTTGGAAGAGGGTGACAAACTCCCCTTTCGAGCCTTAGAACAAATTTTATATGATATAATATTAAGTAAATGTATTTTGAGTATTATTACATATATAATATGTAAATTATTTATTTATTTAACTTGTAAATTATGAAAAATATATTAAAATTATAATATATTTTCATGATGAACTACTTTTTTCATCTTAAAAATGTAGTTTATGTTGAAACCTTGAAATTTTGAAAAATAATTATTTTTATAATAGACCACATTTTTCATATTAAAAACGTAACCTATATTGAAATTATAAATTTTGAAATATAATTATTTTCATAATATATTTGTATAATAAAGTATGTTTTTATTTTAACAACCTAGTCTACATTGATTATACTAAAATCCTCTAAAAAGAAATTTTGGTCTTTGTCTAATAATATTTTTTTTCAACAAACACTACGTTTTTAATATTAAAAGCGTAATCTTTGTTAAAATTATAAAATTTTGAAAAATAATTTTTTTCACAATATATTTTCAATATAGACTACATTTTAATCTTAAAAACATAGTTTTTCTTGAAATTATAAAATTTTGAAAAATAAATTTTCTCATAATATATTTTCAATAGAAACTATATTTTTAATCTTAAAAATATATTTTTTGTTGAAACTATACAAAAAATTTTTTTTTTTCATAACATTTTTCAATAAATGTTATATTTTTTATCTTAAAAATATAATATTTGTTGTAATTATATAATTTACATGTCATCTTGGGTCTCGGTTTATCATGTAATTTTTTTATATTGAAAAATAAAATAGATCGTAAAAACCATTTTTTTAAAGCAAAAGAGAGATAAATTTTAGATTTTAAACAAATGTTAAAAAATCTAAAAAAAATGAAGGTTTCAGATTCTTCATATTTTCACCTTCTTTACATTGTTCGAAATTTAAAATTTTTTATTTCCATAATCAACAGCTTAAACCAAAAAAAAAAAAAAATCAAAATTATGAAAAGTAAAATTTCAAAAAAAAAAAAAGATTCCACCAACCAAATTCTGCCAATAATTTTTATCTTATATCTTGAAAAATAATCAAAGAGTCAATTATATTTTTTTGGCTTCAAAAAACAAATAACATCCATCATAAACATAAATATTTATTTTTTGACAAAATATAATTAATTATTATTACGAAATTTTGAAGAAAAAAGAAGAATTGTAATAAATTAAAAAATATACCACTTTTCTTTTGTTTGATGAAAAAGCAAGGTGGGTATAAAGGTAAAATTGGACACAATTTGAAATGCAAAAGCGGACAAGAGAGGCGGGCGACGAGACCATCTCAGATTTCAACATAAAGCAAACGGTTAAACAATCCTGTCTCCCTCTCAAAACTCCTCTCTTTTACTCATTTCTTTGAAAAGAAAAAAAGTCAAGAAAGATCCATAAAATGACATCGCTCAACGTTAAGGTATTTCCATGTCTCTTTGATTCAATTGTTTTTCAATTTATTTATAATTAGGGTTTCATTTTGATGTGTATATTTTCATTTCAGGGAAAAACTGAGGTTAAACATAGCTTCAGTCGCACCAGCGGTATTCTATTTTTTTTTTTCTGTTCAATAATTAACTTTTAGATGTTTTATTTTCTTTTTCTCTTTGTGTCAAAGGTTTCAAAATTTATTCGCAAAATGAAAATTCCATAAATGAAGCCTCTACCATGTAAGTTTTGCTTTTGCTTTAATTGTAGGAGCTTTTTTTTTTTAGACAAATAGTTTGATTGTTTGATGATCTGATTTTACATTTTATTTCTTTTTTTGTTTTTTCTAGAACGAAATCAACTGTAGGTAGCAAAGCGGCCCCTTTAACTATTACAACTGATTCAAAGGTTATTGTCATTTTCATTACTTTTTCTGAACTTAAGTATGTACAGAATGTTTGAATCACTTTCTCTAACTTTCAAATATAATTTAAAGGGTACTGTGAAGAACATGACAAAGGGTAAAGGAAAGTGTGATAGTTCTGGTAAGATTCATCTGCAACTGCAACAAATTTGTCGTAAGTATCTGAATAGAACTTTGTTTACAGTTTTTTATATGCTCCTTTCAGCAAATAAAATTGTTCGAAGAAAAGCGTTGGCTGATCTTAGCAATCTTACTTCTTATATTTCTGCGAGTAAAGTTTATGATGGCTCCAAACCAATGTGAGTGACTTAATTGTAATACTTTAGAATTCTTAGCTCCTTTTGGAGTTTGATTGACGAGTTGTCTTTACCTGCTCTTTTGTAATGCAGGAAGAATGAGAGAAATGCATTTTTGGAACGGTATGAAAGCTGATTGCTGTTATTGTAGTCATATTTGGTGTAGAACTGATATATTCCCAAGATTTCAGGACTAAGTACACCCTTTTTAATTTAGTCTATAGATTTGGGATTATTATGAATAATTTATAGAAATGTGTTTCAAGTGTATACCTTATTTCTTTCTGCTTTTTTTATGGTTATAAGCATTTGTTTCAACTAGTATACTTTTTAGGTGATGTATATTTGCATTTTGTGCGATTCTGTTCCTCTCTATAATCTATTTTATTATTTATATTTTGATTACATACATTTACTTCCTGTTCCCCTTCCCTATACTATCTGTTTGCAGTTACTGAATGAGGAAAGGTTCCATTTATCCAAAATGAATGTTTACCAAATATTTAGTGAAGAAGATAGTAGCTCTAGATGGATGCTTGTATTTTAAATTTTTATTGTTTATTAGACGACAATTTTAACATATATGGATTAATTTATTTGCAGGGTTTCAGTGGCTCCGGCTGCAAGAACTATGAATGTCTTACCCAGGAGATCTTTCAAGGTACAAGGACTGAATTGAAAGTTAAATACTTTCTCCTCTGCCCCTACAAGCCCCTCAAACATACATGAAAGCATTTAAAGTGTGACAACTATTATTTAATAACTAACAGCTGGGGAAACTGGATGTGGAACTACTTTAACCGCTAGTCTTAATGGCATATGTACTATTGATATCATAATCATGACCTCAAGGGAAGTATTTAAATCCAACAAATGGTTCTTGGAGAGGAGAGGCAAGGTAGAAGAGATCTTTGATTGTAGTGAACAATGTTGAGAAAGTGTGGATGGGAAAGTAAAACCAATGAAAAGTGGTATGATTCTTTCTTGTTGAATTTGTAAGTTTTAGGATGGAGTTTAGGACTTTCAAACTGTTAAATCTAATTTAGTTATTTGAAGATTTTATGTCCATATCTATGGAACCTCTAATTTGGAAATTAAATTCCACATGAAAATCCAGTCCACAATTAATAAAAAAGTTCATGATATAGTTTTGATGTATTCATTTGATTTTCAATTTCTAGCAAGAGACAGCCTTTTGAATTAGTACTAGATTTGCATTAATTCTCCATTCTAGTTCTCTTATGTCATCACCTTTTGTTTTTCTTTTCGTGGAGTTATACAGGAATTGATATATTTCAAAATTTCTTTTAAAACAGGGAAAAGAGAGGGACCATCTAAACCAAGGTGCTATTAGTGTTCATACTTCTAAGACAGGTACCCTGCTATGATTTATGAAGTTATTTTGGTAACTTTCACTAATTAAACAACTTATAAGCAAGTTTTGGTTTCTGAGAGCAGAAGGTATTAAAGATCTGAAGACCTCGTTGAATGACCAAAGTGTTACAGCCAAGAATTCAGATCATAAATCTGTTGTTACTAATGGCAGGTACACTGTTAATTAGAGTTTCAGATTCTACTTGGAGGGCAGGGTGAAACCTGCTAGTATGATTACTGTTTTAAAATTATCTGATCAAGTTTTCCTCGCTTCAATTAAAAATGTTGTGTTATATTTCAGGACAACCAAGAAATTGCTTGTACCCATGAGGTTTGTGAATCTAAACAATAATTGATTAAAAGAATGTATATAATATCTCCCACTGATGCAATTTCTTATTTTGGTTTTCATCTTGAAGGAAGTCTTTACCAGTTTTAAAGAAGGTAAACCAGGTCTTTGCAAATGATGATGTTTGAGAATACTGAACATATTCTTTCATTTTCTAGTGATATTATCTTCCTGGTTGTGTGTTATATCTGTCTTTTTTCTATTTTTTGAATAATTTTCCCCATTTTCCATGTAGGAAAAAGCTACAGAAGCTAGCAGGATTATGAGTAAGATGCATGATCCATTTCTCTTAAATCGCCAAAAGTGCATGGCAGAGTTGCATTACTAAGATCATGTTTTTGTCCTTTCTATTCTCCTCCATTTTTTCCCATTTTTTGGGGCTCCAGGTAAGGCTAAAGTTTGTGAGACTTCAAAGCAATCAAACAATGCAAAGAGCCATCTTTCGAGGAACCGAGGGAGTGATGGCTTTATAATAAGGTAAGCAGGAGTTCCGGATTTTATTCTGGTTCTTTACTTTGCTTCAATTCTAGGACAATTTCTGTGTTTTAAATTAAAGTCAGAATCAAAAACACAAATGAAGCACACATCTACATTTCAGTAAGTGCAAGCAAAAGTAGTTTTATGAGACAAATAATGCTTAAGATTTATTCGCCTATTCCTTGAATTGTTTTATGCAGTTTGAGGTTGTGGCTATCAAGACTTTTAGGTTTCAAATGTTCTGAGTTTATGATATTATTTTCTTCTTACCAGAAAATTTTCATATTAAGTTTGTAGCATAAAGAAAATGAATGATCTTTGCAGTCAACCTTGCTTATGTGCTTCACACAAGAAAAGGAAAGTGCATGATAAAATAAATATGGTCCTGTTCTTATTGAACCATTGTCTTTTCATTTTTCTTTTTCTTGTTCTGATTTAATCTTCTTATTTTTTCATCATATTTTTGTTTTGATTTTTGGAGACAATTTAGTAAAACATGGTAGTCTCAGGTAATGTGGGAAAATATGGTAGTCACAGGTAAACATTTACTGTGTCCTATGTTGAAATTGTAAATATGAAACCTTAGGGAATATGTTGAGTCTATAGCTTCATTGCAAATAAGTTGGAAAAAGGAAAATAAAAAGTTGGCTGCCAACCCTAATGCTTAGATACATTCTCCTAGCTTTACAAATTGTACTGTTAATGTGTTCAAGATAATCCGGTTTCTACAGAGAAAGTGGAAGGTATTCCTATGGCCTTTCTTTTTGCTCCTTATAAAGTCTCAATATATACACTTGGATTTACAAATTGTACTGTTAACGTGTTTGGATAATTCGATTCTATGGAGAAAGAGGAAGTTGTTCCATGGCCTTTCTTTTTGCTCCTTGTAAAGTCTCACTCTGGGACAGAAGTGAAGTACTTTTATGCTCAACTACTTTAAACTGTGAATTTGCGACCAAGAATTTGTAGTCCATTCAAATAATAAATCTGCCACTGTAAGTTTATGATTAAAATAGTTTTAAGCTGTAGCTTATCTGTGTCAATTTTTATTGGAATTGATCCTGCAAGGCTGAAAGTTACAAAGTCTGATGTTTAGTTTGGATTTTTGGAACTAGGGCTCCTAAAGGTCAATCTAATTCAGCTGCTCATATCTTGCCAAGATCTTTAAAGGTATGTTGAATGCCATATCTGCCTTCAATGCTTTGTTTTTCAGTTAGTATGTTCCATTTTTTTAATGATTTTGCCTTATACTTTCTGAGTTTGCTTAACGCTTACCTGGCAACCAAAGTTGTGTTTGTGTGTATATTTTACCCAATTTTATTGATATGAGCTGTTTTTATGTCATTCATTGCCCAGTCAATTGTTAAGACTACACTCAGACCTTCCAATGCTCAAAAAGCTTCAAAATCCAAGTGTTCATCAGGTTCTAGAAAACCAGAATCCATTGCTGCAATCCCATCCAAGAAAGATGTGGAATGTTCTCATCAAGAGGATAGTGCAGCGGTAATTTCCAATGAAGCCAGTCAAATCGATCTTTTGTCTAATGGCACCAGTGGTGCCAGCATCAACATGCCAGATGTCCCAGTTAGGAAGAAAGCTAAACGTAGGAGATCTTATACTTCGTTATTGATGACAAGATCAAAGGTTTGTCGCTGCTGCAATCTATGGTAATCTCTCAACTTCTTCCCTGCGAAGTTGAATGACTATTGGAAATATTTTGCAGCTACTTGAGGATTATGGTGGAGTCAAGGAAGAAGAAAAGCTACCAGACATTGATAATGATGGAAATTCGTTGGAAGTTGCTCAATACGTTGATGAGATTTATCAGTATTATTGGGTTACTGAGGTAATTGTTTATTGGGCTCCTCTTTCTAGAATTGCTTTTAGCTTACCATGATCCGTGTACTAGGCTTATTGTAGTGTAATTCTGATCCTTGTTGAACACTGAGAGAAGCCAGAACAGGGGAACGCATTATGCATCTCCCTTGATATTAACATAACATATGATCAACTTATTTGTAGGGGCTTCATCTAATGATGAGTAGCTATAGGAGATTGACTGATAAAATAAATCCATCATATAAAGGACTCAGCTGAATAAACAATAACATGGTAAAATATCAGACATAAGTAATTATCCGCAACTTGTTGGTTCTTGATCAAAGTGGCAGTTAGAGAATTGCACATTATAAGAATACTTAAGGATAATATTTGTTGTATTGCTATATTGGCTTTTTAAAACAGGGATTAGGGACGGTGAACTAACCCGTCCCCGATGGGTTCCCGCCCGACCCGACCCCACGAGGTCGGTTTTTTTTTTTTTAAATTCGGGTATCGGGTCGGGTAAAATAAGAAAACAATTGGGGTCGGGTTTGTCTAAAACCCGACCCGATATTATATAAAAAATTATTTTTTAATTAATTATTTAATTTTTTATTATATATATATTTATATAATGATATTTTTAAATATTTATATTTAAAAAAGAACATTTTATATTAAAAAAATAATATTTTATTAATTTCGGGTCGGGTACGGTTTACATGATGTCGGGTTCGGGTATGAAAAATCAAAAAAAAAATTCGGGTAGGGTTGGATTTGAGTTTAATAAAGATTAAATCGGGTCGGGTTCGGGGTGAGCAAAACCCGCCCTGAACCCGACCCGATGCCAACCCTAACAGGGATTTATTCTTCATTAGAAACAGAACATCTTTTTATGTAATGATAGAAAAAGGAAAAGCAGGGATGTTTTTTAGTTGTAATTGTTTGCCTACTACTCAATGACTGATGATCCATTTCTCATTTCCTGGTTTGGCTTCGTGCCTCAGATGTTGACTTGTTTCTGTACTGTGTGTCAAACTCTAATGTTGTTTAATATAAGTCTACTTATCTCGATGCTTAGTTTTTGCAACTGGTTAACCAGCAATGCTTGAGTGACTAGTAAGATATTTTTGCTTATACCAAACTCATAAAACTGCAGGCACTGAGTCCATCTCTGGAAAATTATATGTCTATACAGACAGATATTACTCCTCATATGAGGGGCATATTGATCAACTGGCTGATCGAGGTATATTTTGTTTCACATGGCTTTAATGCACTTTTTGTTCATAATGGTGTTTTTTCCTATGTAAATTATCCAAGTACCACCTTGCTCATTTTAGTTGTTCTGTCCTTTATTACTCGTATAACAGGTGCACCTCAAATTTGATTTAATGCAAGAAACACTTTATCTCATGGTCACATTGTTAGATCGATTTCTCTCAGAGGTCCAAATAAAGAAGAATGATATGCAGCTGGTTGGTCTTACTACACTTTTGCTGGCATCAAAATATGAGGATTTTTGGCATCCTAGGGTAAATATTAATGTGTCAAATTTGCATGGTATCTTGTATAATTCTTTCTCAAACTTGAGTCCTTGCAAAGCCATTTGCTCATTTAATTGTATGTGCTTCATCCTTTACAGGTCAAAGATTTAATTAGCATATCAGCTGAGACTTACACTAGTGAACAAATGCTTAAAATGGTATGTGTTTTCTTTTGATAGAATGGAGTTTAAACTTTAAACTTCTGAGAAATGATCATGGTTTGTACATTAATAATTACTGGCTTTGGTAAGGAGGAAACTTGGTGTTTTGGTGTTTGGACTTGGAAGCTTTATGTATTTTATTTTAACCCTTATGTTGGAACCCCCAGTCATAGCCCATGGTCATACTTCGAACACTAAACCCCATATGACTGAGGTAGATGTACTGTCATCTAAGCATCTTTTGTGACTTAAAATTAATGCAAACTTCTATAGGTGTTTGCCTTTATTGTTCTTAATCATAACAAGTAACTTGAATTTGCAGGAGAAGCTTGTTCTTAAAATGTTGAAGTTTCGCCTAAATACACCTACTCCATATGTTTTCATGTTAAGGTTTATCAAGGCTGCTCAATCAGACACCAAGGTTTGTTTTAGCGTTTAGAATGTCACTGCTGAATCAGCAATTCGGTTAAACCTTGAATTCTCTTTAAAAAATGAAGACAGAAAAGGAGTTTCTATTCATAGTGGGATCAGTTATATGTGATATTTTGGGAGCTTTGATTAGATTTCTTTTTGGATGTTAGATATTCTTTACTGTTTTAAATTGGGTAAACTGATTCTTCAAAAGTATGTTAAACATTTTGTTATTCCTTTCAGCTTGAACATCTATCTTTCTACCTCATTGAGCTGTGCTTGGTTGAATATGAAGCATTGAAGTTCAAGCCCTCCTTGCTATGTGCATCAGCTATCTATGTTGCTAGATGTACCCTTCAAATGACTCCATCTTGGACCCCGTTGCTTTGCAAACATGCACACTATGACGTGTCAGAAATCAGGCATATTCTTTAAATTCTTAGTGTTAATATTATGAATGACTCTTGAACTATAGTAAAATGTTCAATGTGATTTTAGAACTTTAAAAGTTGTCAATGAAGTACTTGAACTAAGAATCTGCTAATTAATGTGATACTCACCTTTAATGTGGTTAGCTCCTAATGATGATAAATAGTTCTTTAAGTATCACATTAGTTAATAATTAATTCATAATTTAAGTATTACATTGAATATTTCACTATAATTCAAAAGCCATTCATAATATTAACCCAAATTATTATAGTTTTTTGGTAGCTCATACGTAGCGGTGGATGATTTATTTATGGTTTGATTGTGAGCAGGGAATGTGCAGAAATGATTTTAAGATTCCAAAGAGCAGCCAGATGGGGACAGTTGAAGGTCACATATGAAAAGTATATGAGTATTGAGCTCAGTGGAGTTGCAGCTATCAAACCCTTGGACACACTTCCTTCAACTTGATGCATGAACTTGCATGGGTTTATTTTTTAAATATAAAGGTTTATGTTCCCTGGATTGGAATTGAACTTGAAGGTTTTACCACTTGTAACCCTATAATTGTTGTTCATAGCATGCATGTGTGATTTAAAAACAATGGAGGAGAAACCGAGGCTGGTTTCCAGTTGCTGTTGTTGATAATTTTTTTATTCCAGCTATCCTTCTTCATGTTTTTGAGAATGAGGATTGCAACAGTTTTTTCAATGTTGGCTTTGATGATACATCAGTGATAGCTTTTTGAATACCAGGTTCTAACTTTTTAGGATGGCAAAAAGCAGATCTGTTTGCTTGGGTGGAAAAGTAAATAATATTTTATGAAAATGAAATTCTAATTAAATATTTTTGAATATTTCATTATTCTATTTACTTAGATTTAGAATTGAATTTACAATATGATTTTGATTTTCACTATTAATTAACATGAAAAGACAAATTACTAATAACATCCTAATTAAAAAAAAAAAAACTTCCACTGTTAGAAATAATTCAAATAAAAAGTATATTGACTGAAATCTTTTATTTTTTAGCAACAAATCGTGTTCTTGTTAACCATGTAATCTTACTAGAGGAACAAAATTCTTCAACAAAACATTATTAACCAGGTTGATGTTATGCTATAATTGCATATTGCTAAAGAAGAGATGGCTGACAAGAAGAAATAACTGGAAATGAGGTTAAAAAAGAATTGATGTAATCAATGAGTAAACAGAGATACATCCAATAATTTCACAAAGGATGGTATAGCCTATAAATATTAAAGCTGAAACTTCCATATGCTATAAAACCTTCAATTAAATGCAGATCTATTTCTGCACAAATAGTTTACTACATAAATTATTTGTTAGATGAAGCACCGTTAATTGTTATCCATCCATTACTCCTCAGCCTTCTTATATCTAAATGCAAGCACCAACAAAATCTGGATTCAAGCCAAAACCAAATTATGAAACAAAGCTAATATATATAAGCTCTACTTAAATCAAGATTCTGTATGCATACATATTTGACTTGTAAGAGCTGAACCAAGTATGCCCAAGCTTCTCTTCCTCTGGCAACTCAAGAATTACATGAAATGAAACTCTCCAGCGTTCCTGCCTATGTACATACACCTTATCCTTCAACAAAATCTTTACTGGCTATTTCCATACCCATTATACAAAATGTAATGAGCTGATACAAGTATATATAAATTATAAAATTTCATCATATACATCAAGTATGAAGTAATTCAGGCTATGAACAAGCAGCCAAACCATCTTGTGAAAGCAAATATCCTTCCCGATCCATTGTCTCCCTAACTGCACGATAAAACTTGACCCAAGAAGATTGAGACATGTCCACAGGGCCCCATAAAAATGTAGGATTAGGAGTAGCTGGGCAAGCAGCAACTAAATCCAACACTGAGGCTGCTGGTTTAAGCGGCTGTGGGAAATTAAATGCTAAATTATCAACCTTATGCTCATAGATTTTTCCATTTCGATCTAATTTGTACCATGAAGTACCCTGAAACTGGCCGTTGGCCTCCCATGGAACTCTAGGGACACCTCTCATGTTCCATCTAATCAATATGACATTCTCTGAAGGTTGCCAAATCCTAAACACTTCAAGAGAAATCTCTTTGAACAACATTTTACCATGAAATCTCAATGCCCAGAAGATCAATTTATAGTTTTCAACACCAGAAAATGTATTCAAAGGGTCTACAAAAGTAATATCATCCCTGAAAAAAAAAAGTAAAACTTAAAAAAAAAATACAAAATACTAAATTTCTCAAGGAAAGAAAAGAAACCCAGAAGAAGAAATTACCTGTAAATGTCATAATTGAGGTCTCTGGTGAAAAGCAAAGGCAAATCGTCACGAAGAGTCCGAACAGCAAGTCCTAGGTTGACATAAAACTCATCTCTTTGGTGGTGGGAGGGATGGTGCTTATCCTGATGAATGGAGGGAGAGCTAACCTGAAGTGTCGTGGATTTAACAGTTAGAATTTCAGAGCAGAGTTTTGGAGATTGGAAAAAAAGTGGTTGGTGAATGGGCTTTTCTTTGGAGCAAGTTTTGGTTTGCAGAAGAAGGGAAGGAGGAAGATTTGGTAGCAGAAAAGCCATTTCTCTGGCCTCAACAGTTTGAGATGATTTTGTGTTTTATTTTTCTTTTTTCTTATTTTGTGAAGTTGAAAAAACAAAATAAAGCCTTCGATTTTGAGTGGTTTTAAGCACTGCCATGACATGTTTATTCAACTCTTCAACGTGGACCAAAAATCCATGGCTTTTGTGTTTCTTTTTTTTTTTTTTTTTAAATTGAATCGTATTTGTAATTGTTTTTCGTATTCAAATTGGCTTTTTTTAATCGGTAATAAAAATTCATCGAACTTGTTAAAATTTTATCTTTTTAAAAATTGAATTGAACCTTGACTTGCATTTACAAAATTTATATCATATATCGGATTGGATTTTCATATGTGAATATTAACTTTTCTCATAGTTTAACTAAATAACAACTATTAAAAAATGAATATAAAACAAGAATCTTCTCTCGCATACAAAGTAGAACATAAAAACAAAGCACCGGAAGTATAGAGAAGAGAGGAATAGGAAAGGAAATAAACACAAAAAGAATATTTTTGCGCATAATGTTTATAAGAATATCCCATCTAAGGCATCTTCTCTCTTATCTTATCTTTTTTTTTTTTTTTTAATTTCAACAAAATCTTACACTCTTTTGTTCAAGTGATATTTTAATTGTGATTTTATTTTGACAGTTTCATATTCAAAATTTAAAATAGACAAAGTAGAATTTACATAAACAGAGAAAAGTAAACACTTGATTTTTTTTTTTTTATGTACACACACATACAATATATAACTATATATATTGAATGATATTGTTATAAATAATATGTTAGATAAAGTTAGATAAATGAATTATCAAATGCGAAATTATACACTTATTTAAGATTGTGGAAGTTTACCTAATCCATTAGTAAAAACAAAATCATAAACAAAAAATTATTCATTATTTATTGTGTAAATCCTTCACTGTGAATATAATAAGTTATTTAACAATTACTTATCGAATTTCTTTCTTTTATTCTCTTTCTTTTTAACTTTTATTTCTATATTCAGTTTATGATCTGAAAGATAATTTATATGAACATAATAATATATCAAAATAACATGAAAATTTTACTTGATTTGTGGAAGTGTTGCGAAAGCAATGTTGACTTGATTTATTGATCGGGGAAAGATCACTTATTTGAAAATTATCTACTATCCATAGTGTAAATTTTTAAACACCAAAACAAGGGATTTTTTGAAAAGTTTCTTTCTTTTTGCCGCACTTTTTTTTGTCCTCTCATGTAATTTATATGATTCATCACATATTTTCACATGAATGAAAATTTTCTTGTGTTTTGGATGAATACATTTCGTCCTTTTTATTCTCACCAACATGGTTGAATGCCATGCCAATCATTGAGAGAGAGGAAAAGACACAAATTTCATTTTGTTCATCCTTCACAATGGTTGAATACCATTTTTCATCATCTTTACTATAGGCGAATGTCATATCTTAAGGATGAGGAGCATGGTAGTTTTATATTTATTTGAATTCAAATTCAATAGATACAATTGCTTATAGTAGTTGTCAAAGTAAGAAAACTTCTTTAAAGGTAGTTAGGAGTTTGGGCCACCCATTATGGGCAAACTTGAGCCTTATTTTCTTACATCTCACATTTGCACAAAATGGGTGTCAAACTCTCACAATTAAGAAAACATTTTCTCTACTTTTTGCAACAGTTTCATACAAAAAAGTAAGTCATGTGACTAGTATACTTCGGGAGCTTAGTTGCTATACAACTGTTATGTATATAATAATAACTCAAAATCACATTTAGTCACTTATATGATTGTTAGATATGTATAATAACTCTCAAATACAAGTAGAGTGAGTATGTAGTATCCTAGATTTATTTAGTTACATTTCAAGTTTCTCATAATCTTTCTTTTATCATATTGCATAATGTGCTTGTGTATCATAATTATGTTTGATTTCAAACATAAATGATCGACTTGTGAATATAACAAAATGTGATGCTAAAATAATCTTCATTTCTTTTAAAATCTTTTCATTTTAATTCAACTACTATCCTAATATGTCCCATTAGATCGAATCATCTATGACCATTGGTAACATCCTAAGATAGCTAACATTGAATTCAAACTTTAAAAAATAGTTGAAAATCCTTGAAGGAACTGAATATGATTTCCTCTAATCTTAAGGGTTTCACACAATGAGAAGCAGAAATCTATTCTTCTATTACCTTTATTGGTAGATCAATGCACATGTGGTATGAAACACATGTTACAGCATTACTCTCTTATTCTAGAGAGCGTAGGTCTTTTCATTAAATATCAATACCGTAAGATGATAATTTAGATACTTTCAATATCTAACTTGAGTCCACAACTCTATTTGATTTTTCATAATCAACAAGACTTTCACCTAGCATATTAAGATAGATAAAGTGAATTGTAGGATTATTCACTTTTGATTATGACTCATATTATCAAGTGACTTTATCTTGATCGTTATCAAGTTGATTTTGTTTTAGGCTTTGCTTTTTCATTTATAGTTTAAAACTAATATCATTTTCATGGTATCAAACCACTGAAGCGATTATTTGTGTGAGAAGGTACATCATTTGTTTAATAGACCTTTTAAATCATATCATATTTGTTTATATACATATACATGTGTATATGTATCACAAAACAAAGTACTAAATTTTATGGCATTAATTGCATTCAATATAAGTCAATTTAAACACAAAAAATCATAAATTGTTTACATGGAACATCTTAATCAATACATCCTTATCTATGTAACCCTAAAGATTTCATGTGGCTATAAAACATGTTTCTAAGCATAAGCTTAGTAAATGGATATGCAATTATCTAATGCATAGAAATGTATTATGTTTTTAACTTTCTTTTGTGCAACTTTATCTTTTACAAAATTATACTTGGTATTTTTATATTTGATCTTTGGGAATTTTTTATGAATGTGATTTTTACTTAACTATTGTGATTCACTAACATTGAGTTTGACATATCTTCTCAATTCTCAAATGATTAAAAAATCTCATTAGCCAAACAATTTCTTGCACTGTAGTTAAACAATGCTACAAATTTAACTTTAATTATAGATAGAACTATTTAATTCTCGTTTTTACTAATCCAAGATATAGCTTAATTTTCAGTAAGAAAACATAGCCAAAGGTAAAATTTACTTTCATTTAAATCTTTTATCCAATTGGCATCCACGTAGCCAATTAAATGCAAATCACTTTTTTAATAGCGCAACAAATAATCCATGGTGCCTTTATAATACCTTAATATCCTTTTTATGGCTTTCTAATGAGATTGACTTGGATTGGATTGATATTTGCATACCATGCTTACGACATAACAAATGTTCAATCTTGTGCACATCATAACATACATAAAGTTTCCAATAGCATTAGAGTAAGGAACTTTTGCCATTTGTTCTTTTGTGAAGTCTTAAGACACATTCTTTGGCTCAAGCCTTCACTTTTTGCCATAAGAGTATTGATTTAATTAGCTTGTAGTTTAATGCATTTTTAATAATTACTCTTGAGAAAGAGAATAATTTCTTGAAACGATCTCTTTTGATTCTTAAATTAAGAACGTAAGTTGCTTCACATATGTTCTTCATTTCAAATTTAAAGACAACCAATTTTCACTATAATAAAAGACTTTTTATCATTTCTAACAAATTATATGTCATCCATACAAAGTAACAAGATCACAAGCTTGTCTATAATTCTTTTAACCCACATACATTGATCTTCATCAATCATGATAAAGTCATATCAAACTATCATTTTATGAATACTAATTTATTATTGCTTGGAAGATTATTTAAAACCATAAATTGCTTTTAACATTTGTGCACTTTTGTGCTATTAACATTTGTCAATGATTCCTATAGGTTATTCCATATAAATTTTCTCTTTTAGTTCTTCATTTAAAAAGACATTTGTCACATCCATTTTATGGAATTCCAAATTTAAAAATGCTACAATGGCTAGAATAGCACCTTTTGGTAGATCAATCAATTGTTTGGGGTTTTTATCAATCCAAAATTCATAAAAAATGATTGTAATTGACTTAAAAGATACTCAATTGAATATATAAACATTTGATAATAATACTTTATCCCAAAATTGATTTACAAACTCACTTAAGCCAATATTAACTTAACCATTTTCATAAGAGTTTTATTTCTTTTATGTACAACACCATTTTGTTATGGAATCATTGGAATAGTTAACTGCCTATCAATACTATTTTCATTACAAAACTATTTGAACTAATCAAACAAGTACTCATAAGTAAGATAGTTTTCAATGCCTAAATGTTTTTATCTAATTGATTTTTTACTAAGTATACATACTTTCTAAATCACTTTAAGAGCTTTAGACTTATGAAAAAATCAAATAGAAAAAACTAAAAAGTGTGTTATCATTAATAAATATGATGAACTATTGATCTTTATCATGTGTTCTTACATACCTAATAAGGAGTGATGATCGTTGGTTTTGTAGAGAGTATGTGTTTGAGAGATGGAGAGTTTAGAGAAGGGAAAAAAAATGTATTACATTTTTTTATAATATCTAATTAGAAAAAAGACATGTGAATTCACGTGACAACCTTAACCTAAAACTCACATTCTAGACTCGACTTGATTGTAGACATCTCTTTTCTTTTTTTTTGTTATTTTTATTTTTATTATTTTATTTTATATGTTTTTACTTTTTTTATGATTTTATTTTAAAAGAAAGTCACCCAAAAAAGTAAGTTTATATTCCTAGTTAACATTGAAATTAATAATAGTTAAAGTAAATTAAAATTTATTTAACTAATAATTTTCTTATTAAATTAGATATTAACTAACTTTTATCTATTTATTACATTGTTATTTATTTTGAACTCTATATAAAATTATTCTTAATAAGATTTAAAGTTTAACTATATAAAAAAAACTAGAATTTCTACTCCATTGAAGCATTAAAGAATTTAAATAACTATAAGATTTACATAGCTAACACGTTTCAATAATTTTAACATCAAACTAAAATACATGTCAAATACATAAAGATTTTATTTTAATTAATATGATCTTTTCCCGTGCATATATGATTCTCTTGAGTTAAGGTGTCAATAAAGGTATAATCAATTCAAGTGAAGTCAATCCATTAACAAATTCGATTTTAACTTTCTTTGAAAACTCAAGACTTAAAGTTCAACTTAAGTCTGCTTGTAAATTTTTACACTCAAGCTCTTCTTGTAATTTACTAGAATAGTTCAAGTTTGGCTTGAAAGGCTATGTTAATAAAATTATAAATATGGATATTAAACTATATATTTTTGTTCCTTACTTATATATAATATAATAAAATACAATTAAAAATTAAAGACTTGATTACACTTACGAACCTCTCAAGTTGAGTATTAAAGTATTCAAATTTAGCTTGACTTGTTACTCAAGTAACTAATGTTTGGCTCGATAATGAAAGAGTTAAGCTCAAGTATTCACCAAATTGAGCTCAAATAGCTTACTAATAATTTGACTTGTTTATATTTTTAAGTATAAACCTATTTTGTATATTTGTTTATTTTATTTTATTTTTCTTTTCATTAAATTCATATTATGTTTTGATATTAATAAGGTATATTATGAATAATGTTACATATACAAATTTTAATTTCAATCAAAACCAACCAAAAAAATTAAGAGCCAATAAGTTAAAACTTATTTGGTTTTTGTATACTACTAATGCAATCACTAATAAATAGCAGTTTTTGCATTGAAGCTTATTTAGATGATGATGATGATGATAATAATAATAATTCTCTTAAATAAGATTCAAATTTATTACTTGACTTATGCGAGTGGTTTAAAATTATAATTAATTTTTTAACTAGTGTAATTTTATCAATATACTTTTAGTTTTGGAGTAAAATTATCATCAAACTTCTAATATTTTTGTCAAGATGTAACAATTGAGAAATATTTTGTAGAATATTTTGTTAGAAGTTGTCATATAATTAAAAAAAAATTGAAAATGATGTGACATAAAAAAAAATAAACCAACTGGAAAATTATAATGTAGCATTTAATTTAGTAAAAAATGTCATAACGAAATAAGAACATGCATAAAATAAAATAAAAATAAAAATTTTGAATTATGTGACATATTTTAATAAAAATGTCATAATATAAAGAAGAAACATAAAAAGAAAAGTTTGGATTTTAGCTTCACAATTGTTTTTTGTATTATATTATTTTCAAAATTATTTTTTGAATTGTAGAATAGCTTTTAATAAAATATTTATTCAATATTCTCTAATTACTTCAAAATTAGAATTATGATAGTAAATTTATTTCATGGGGAGGGATTAACTTACATTTGTGCAAAATTTTTTAGTTTTTTTAATCATTAATTTCAATATATTTAAGGGATATGAATTCTTTTTATTTCTCTTATATTTTAGATTTATTGAAATTAATTGTCAGAAAAAGTTGTAAAACTAAAATGTTTTATATTGATGTATGTTGATTTTACCTTTTACTTCATAATTAGAAGTATGATAGTAAAATTGAACTAATTTAAACACTAAATTTAAAACACTAATATAAATACAATGATAAGCTTATATGTTATCACCACATCTCTTATTAATTTAATCGTTTTATGCTAATAATTACATACATAAGTAGTTTGGATTGGTTTACAGTATGAAAATTGAGACTCAAAATTTTTTTTTAAATTAATGTTATGAATGATCCTTAAATTACAGTAAAATATTCAATATAGTATCTAAATTTTAAAAATCTATAATGTAGTATATAAATTATAAATTTATTGACTAAAGTGATACTTAAAGAATTGTTTGTTTGATATAGACCTGCCAATTCATATTTCATTGTAATGTCTCATGTTGTGTTTGGCACGTGTAATGATACAAATTATTAAAACACGAACATGATACAAATTATAAAATATGTTTAAATCTTAAATACGAATGTTTATTATATGTGTTACATGTAACACGACATGATTAAAATATGTATAATTAATTCGTTTAAACACAAGATGAATAAACATGAATAAAATATATATACATGAATAGATATGACTAACATCAATATATACAAAAATATGATTAAAATAATAAATAACTATAAACTATTTATCATTTACAACTTAATAAATTTGACATATTAATAATATCAAAAAGTACATGTATATTAAAATTTTTTTTTGATACCTATTTAATATGTATTTAATATATATATATATATATTAGTTTTTAATATCAAATTCAAAATGATGAACTACTAAAAATTAAAAAATAAAATAATGATGTATAAGACTAGTATTAATGTATATATTGTATTTATATTATTAATATAAAAATAATTTTATAATAATTATTAAATAAGTATTATAATTAAATATTTAAAATAATCTTTATATGTATTAAACAGCTAATTAAGTATCATTATTAAAAAATTAAAAATTAAAATAATCTTTATATTTATATTAAATTAAAATAAATATAAAAAAAATGTTAAACATGTTAAACATGTTAAATGTACACTCATATGACAAGATTAAATTAAAAATATTTTTCATATCGTATCGTATATTAAATGTGTATCCGTATGACACGTTTTATCTAAATATATTTTTTTATATTTTATACGTGTTTAGATATGTCAATATGTATAAAAAATGAATTGTATTATGTTAAAATTTATGTCGATACGAATAAATACAAAACATATTTTTTAAAAACACATACGATTTTTGCCATATGTTTTTTGTGTCGTATTACCATATTATGTCTAAAATTATCAAATCTAGTTTGATACATACCATATTTGTTAATAGATTCATAATTCAAATATCATTTCAAAAATTTTTAAAATTTAAATATTGTATTAAATATTTTACTATAATTTAAAAATCATTCATAATATTAAATCTTTTTTATTTTATAAGAGATTTGTCATTAATTATGAAATTTGATAACTTCTTATATTAATTAAAATTTAAATCTCACCATCTTTGTTCCTATCCCCTGTCTAATGTACCTAAATAATTTTACTATTATTTTTTTTTGGTTAATTAATTTTTCTATGAATAAAATATTAGTTGAGCTCAATTATCTCTCAAAAATTAATATAATTACTTTATTTGTATGTTTCATTGTTTTTCATTTTTATGATATAATATTGTTAAGTTATTGTATTAATATACATAATTTTTTAATTAACAAGATCTCCTATGGCCATTAATAAAATGATAATAAAAATACGTTTATGAGACTTAAAAGAATAAAAGATGAAAAAGTTCATAATATGAATTATTTTATAAAAATGATACTTTATCAATTCATCCTTTCTAATGATCATTATCTTAATATAACAATAAAAATATATTATTTATCATTCAACCAATTTAACTATTTATATATATTAAATAAAATATTTATTTTAAAAAAAAATTAACTTACATTAATATAAAATTAAAAATTTTATACTTTTTTGTAATCATTAATTTCAATAAATCATAAGATTAAATCAACTTTTTATTTTTTACTTATCTTTCTCTCTCTTTAATTTATTAAAATCAGTTATTACAAAAAAATATAAAATTTTTAATTTTACAACAATATAAATTGATTCTTTCTATTACTTTTATTTTTGTGTGTAAAGCGTATTTTATTCATTTAAGGAAATTAAAATAAATTTCATAAATAGAGAAGTACTATAAACAATAAGTAGAGAAATATTCAAGGTTAATAATTTAAAGTATATGACTACAAATGCAAAGTTTTAAAGTTTTGTTTTTTAAAAAATAAAGTTGAAATGTTTATATGATTTAATATTAATTAATATACACCATTATTTAATTAATAATCATTATAATTTAAAAATTAATAAAAAATGCAATGTACTTTCCCATTAGCAAAAAAATAATGAACTCAAAAAATTAATTTAGAAGATAAAAATAAAAGTTCATTAATCAATCTTCAATAATATTTTCTTTTTTTAAATATAATAATAAAAATATTATTATTTAAACTCGTGATTAATTAAAAAAATGTAACAAATTGGATTATAAAAATATAACATCATTTCCTTTATTAATTGCTAGCTGTATACCTCCACTGGCAATATTATTTTGAGCGTTAATACAAAAAATTATTGAATTCAAATCCTGTCGAAAATCATCTTAATACATAATTTATAATAATATATTTTAAATTATCAAATAAGACACATTAACTTAATTTAAAATTAAATATCATATTTATCTCAAATTTTCTTTACTAAATAAATAAATTTGATCATTTATATATTAATATAATATAAAATATTAATAATTATTATATTTATATTATATTTTACATAAATATTTTTATTATAATTGAACACAAAAACATAAAATATATTTCTCTTCAGTGCATCTCAACACAATTATATACTTAATATAACAATAATGTGTCAAATAAATTGGCATTACAAAATTCTTTTAAATCTTTTTCACTTTTAGACACTTTTAAATATAATTGTTAAAATAAATTTATAATTCAAGATAATTAATAAGAAAATAAAAAATAATTTTCATTTTTTTCACTTTTTTAAAATTTTCTGGTCTTAGCCAAATAAAGATTAAGATTTGAACCCACCATGAAAAATCAACCCCAGCATTGAAACATGAGCCGCTCTACTATTATAAACCGCAGATACATTAGATTTTGGTCCTAAAGGTATTCTTCGAAAAATCATTCTACTAAAACTTAAAATAAATTTTCATTAAAATAAAACTTATAATTCTCGAATAAATTAAAAAAAAGATTAAAATCCATGTTAATTAAATTAGATAGAAGATAATAGTAATATGGATCAGATTCCTGGCTTGGATTCTCTTATAAATGAGAATAGATCGCACATTATATTCAGCTTCGATCATCTGGGGAAATAATCATCACTTCCATATTAATAAGTAAATTCGATAACACAATAAAACAAAAAAACATATAAATTTTTTAAAAATAATGGGAGAATATATGAAGATGGATCAGAGTTCTGGCTTGGAATCTCTAACGAATTAGAGAAAAAACAAATCGCACAGTATGTTCAGCTTCGATCATCTGGGGAAATAATCATCACTTCCATCTTCATTCCAAATTAATTAAAAAAATTACTAAAACTTCAAAAAATGTGGAGCATCTGAATGCATAAAACTAAAGAAAAAAGAGCAAAATGCCAGAATCTCAGCTCCAAATCTGTATTGGCAACGTACAGCGCTGAAGTCGCTATTTTTATTATAGCGCAACAGTGACTCTAATTTATTGCCTTCTTTGTATTTCTATTGATTTTTCATCTAAAAATAAAATACATAAAAAAAGGCTCAGAGAGTTGAAATATTATTACATCAACGAGGCAGAGCTCTCATGGTTTGATGGTATAATTTTCATCATCACCGCCTCAAAATAATCATACCAATAAAAAAATATTAAATCGAAATCGGAGAAAAGAAGGAAAAAAAAAAGGTTTTCCTTTAGCTTGGATTATTGATGCCTCAGAAACTAAACTTTGAAAGAATACATCAAAGATAAAAATCTCAGATGGTACGGACAAATGTTGAACATCACAGGCAACTAAGGATCAGAAAATAACACCAAAATCAAAATCGAAATCAAATACATGAAGAAACAACAAAGAGAAAAAAAGAGAAGAATTTTTTACGCACGAGAATGATTAGAGCGGACAGCGGAGCCAACTGAGTGAGGAAGAAAGAAGAGAGCGATGGGGTTATAAATAGGGAAGAGAACAGAAAACCCTAAATTGGCCTAAGGGATATTAAATTACATTATTGCCCATAATGTGTAGATGAAACTACAAGAGTAACCTTTTCTAAATGGACTCAACTTTCTCCTTTAGACAAAAGGCCGAAGAAAATGGGCCAAAATTGAACAAAAGAAGAGAAAGATGAAATCAGCTATAACATCTATACAAGTATATTAAAACAACCCTAAACTTCTAATTTATAGCAGCAACCCTCTCTTCACCACCACCGTTTATTATTTACTCATACCGAAATCCAAATCCATCAGAAGTTAAAACCGCTTAAAACCCAACTTGCTAGCTATCTCTTGCCACTTTTCTTTGTAGTGCATTCTTTCTCTTTTTTCACTTGCTTAAAGTAGAGATTGGAGGAGTTGATTGATGATAGAAGGGAGGGAAAGAGAAGAAATTAAGATGAAAATCAAGATGGAAATGATGATGGTGGGATTTTTCAAGTTGGCACTGCATTTAGGGGACAGTCCATGGTCTTCAAGCAAAGATAGTTCATGAGTTTTGAAAATCGAGCAATTGTAATTCATGGATGAATTTGATTTTGAAAGGTTATGTTACAAACTCGAGGAAATAACAACCAAAGACTTAAATAATAATAAAGTGAATTTAACATTTTAAAATTTTAAAATTTATATTTTAATGTATTTATGTGGGATTTTGCATATATTTTTTATTCTATTTATTATTGTTAGAAATTTATTTGTGTAATTATTTATTATTTAGATGGTATTAATTTCAATGTATGCATGGCCTATTGGTAAGGTGGCATTTATCATCTTGTAATTAATGGAAATTGACTTATCAGCTGCTTGATCGTCTTTGGATAATAATACCTATCTTAAAAATACATGCTAATTTCCCACTTGAATATCAAGGGACAATCCAACTTTGGCTACTTTAGAGAGGCACATCAGATAAAACTCAGACATCACTGACTCACTCTTCATTGACAAGTCTCTCATACATTTGGAAATGACAAACGAGCCCTTGGTTTTCCCCACGCTAGCTTTCTATAAGCTTCCATCTCAACAATGTGAATAGAAACGGAGTCGGTTCTTACGGTGCCAAAATCATCCCTCTTGACCAGGGACGATTTTTATGAAATGGCTACCAAATTAGGACGGGTGAATTTTTTTTTATATAATAAATAATGAGGACAGATCAAAAGTCACTTTATGAATGTTCAGTTTTAATCACTTCAGATGTTATAAAAATATATATTTTATTATTTATTTAATTTTATATTAATATATATTATATTAATAAAAATTTTAATTTATTAAAATATTATATTTATTTATATATAAAATTAAGAAATAATTATATTTAAAAAATAATATTTTTATAAATATTATATCAAATTAAAATTATTAAATTAATTTCAAATCGAAATAAATATAAATTATAAATATATTTATCGGATCAGGATAAGCTATAAAAGATAATGATCTGATGTTGGATTGAGAAAGGGTTGGATGACTATTAGAGAGTAGAGTCGGAGCAAAGCATAAAACTACCTCTATTTGCCTTGCTGTCATCCCTATCCTAGTGTCAAGTCCTGTTTGTCTCATATTTTCATCATCTTATATTATCTGTCAAATTTTGCAGACCAAAAAATATTTACAGAAGCAAAATATCATTATCCTACACCAATCAACTGAAAAATGAGTGAAATTCAGGTGCATTTTGAACAAAAGTAAAATTATGTAGCATTTGGAAGTAAAATAGGAGAATGAAGAACAAAAGTACTACAAAGTTATTTAAAAGACACTAAAAGCTTCAGAAATCAAAGCCAGCACTGCAAGCATCGATGATAAGATCAGGCCATGGTCTTATGTTCAGGCCGATGTGTAAACTCAAAATCTATATGCACAAAGGCTCGCTCAACTTCTGGTAGCTGCTCTAGTTTCTCCTGGAGTTTCTCACCTATGATATGTGCTTTACTCAGAAGCATGTCTTCTGGCAACACAATGTCGACCTCCACAAAGTAATGAGAACCAAAAGTATATGCCCTAACTGTGTCAATGTGTCGTATCTGTTCATGGTGGTTCCATATCAGATACGTCAGTTTCGCAAGAAAATCAGGTGGAGCAGTCCTTCCAATTAGTGACCCTACATTCTCAATCACTGTTCTCGCCCACGTACCCATTGTGTATAATGCTATCTGCAGTTATGGATTTAAGAAGTATAATAAGCTTTTAAGCATATTAGTAGCATGTGCAAAAATGAAAGTGGTGCATGACACATCCATGGTCAGGATTGGAGAATTGCAACTTCTTTCTGGAAACAAACTGAGCAGTGAATCCTAGCAAAATTTATAATTTTGATCATAGCATAGAGAGCATTATCATCATTTAATTGAAGCATCAGGGGCATTATAGTGCTAACAGAAATACTGAACCCCAATAAACTATAGCATAAATGATTAAGAAGGATTTTTAACTCACTATTATAGCTCCAGTTGGATCAATCCACCAGCGGAAATGAATAGCTAGAACGGCTGTTGCTAAACCCACTGAATTAGTAACCACATCAAAGAAATGATCCTGAGCATAGGCTCTAACGATTTCATTTTTAAATTGCCGGCAATAGACCATGAGGACAAACTTCACCACTGTCACGAAAACCATAATTCCAATCATCCACTTCTCTTGCTTGTGATTGATCTCAGGGTGGGACTATAGCCACAAAAGGAACAAAATACTAAATGAGTAAAAAAGTTGTGGCCATACCAAAATGATTAAAGAAACTAATGGCAATTTTGTGTAAATGCAGCATCTAAAAGATGCTACGTTTAACTGAATCAAAGTAGCATACCTTTGCAATAAGTTCCCTGACAGACTCCAGCAATATTTGTAATCCTAGAGTTGCCATTACTGAAGCAAAAACAATGATACCCTGGATTGTCAAGCTTAGTTAGTGGATATTTGTTGTAAATGGAAAGAAATACCAATTTTTATTGAAAAAGCTGTTCAAGAGGTGAGAAGAATAGCAATCCGAAAAGAATTTCTGTAAAGCTCAGATCAATAGAAGTTGATCTTTGAAATTAATCATAACCATAAATTAGACTGGAGACCAAAGAAATAACTTACGACTGGCTGCATTCGTTTCTTTCCAATTGGATAGTGATAACGATTGGGGGTTTTCATGGCATATGCGGTGAACCATAGAATCAATCCTGACAAAAGATCCAAGAGTGAATCTAAAGTTGATGCAATAACTGCCAAAGATTTGCTTTCAATAGAAGCGTAAACTTTGGCAGCGAAAAGCACCAAGTTAGCAATGTTTGACACATGAACTGCCATCCTCTCACTCTTAGCAAGTTGCTTCATTTCATCCTGAAGACAAAAAGGTATTTAAGGATTAAATTTTGCTTTCTGTGAACAAAAAGGATCTATATAAATTTAGAATACATTGATATGTGAGTTTTATTTGATGTTTAAGGCAAAATGAGAAGATCGTTGATTAGGATTCTGATTAAATGATATTGTCATCATCATTTAACTAAAATGAAGAAAATATCTCCTATTATTGCATCTAAAAGCCGAACAAAATCTTTAAAACCGTCAAATTGTCAGGAAAATGGAAGTGCATAATGGTCTAATCCGCCAGACACAGTTCAGTGCTCTGCTAGTTGGATGAACAATGTCATCTAAAGCCTCAGAGTAGTTCAATTCCCCCTTTCCATATCATTTTAACTCATGCAAATCAAGAACAAAACATCTCTAAGTTCTCTTTTCATCCCTAGATGCGATAAAAACATTGTGGGGAAAAAGCCAGTGAGGGAAATACCTCTGTTAGGCTTTCAGGCAAACTACCCATCTCGTTTATGGTCTCCATCTCATTAAATCCTTCAAGGAGCCTTTCTTGTTTTTTATAGTACTCTGAAACCTTGCGCTGTTTATCTGAAGTAAGTGAAAGAAAGAAAATCCATAAACAATCATAACATTATAGGAGAAAGAGATTGTACATGACATCATTTGGCAAACTGCCTAAAACGACATTATAACTTGTTATACACACAAACAATATTACATGTAAAAGAACATAAAGGGAATGATGAAACTATGAACTTTTGCCTTCATTTTTAAGAGTTGTCAATTGTTAAGAATCCAGAATAGACTTCTAGTTGGTAGCTTAGAGTCATAAAATGTTGGTGAGCTTCTTCCTGACAAATCTATGATTCAATCAAAAGAAACCCTTTACTGCTAATGTATAATACTTCACAGAATTTTGACATGATAGAAAATCTTGAGATGATTTTCGTTTTATAACATCATAGAATGTCCCATAATTAGTGCTTGCTATGCCTTAGAAACAGGTTTGGTTATAGTGTGTGCTTCACCACAAATAAAAGAAATTAAGCTTAGAGGATCCAATTCAATGCCCATCAAGTTCTCCAGGGACCACCCCTAAAATTCTGAAGTTCAAGATCAAAAAATTCACGAACAAAGCCAGGAATTTGGGATTTTGTAAATCATATTCTTTGGCCTAACTCTTATCTGAATTTTTTTTTTTTTTTTATCAAGGGCTGCCTAATAATGATCTTTGTATATCTTGTTGGGGCAACGACAAACACTTCAACTTTTTAGCAGATAATATTATATGCTTTAGTTTAATAAACAACAATGGTCCCTTAGAAAAGAAGAAAACATTTGTAATGAAATCGATCCACTTTTTCCATGGCATTAAAGCTTCAACAATTAAATTTTAGAAGCTTCATTAATAGAAAAGAACATGAAGACAAGCTAGCCCCTAAAGTTTTTAACAGTGCAAAAGCACTTTTGCCAAACATGTTCTAAAACTTTTAGAGACAATCTTGTAGGATTCCACTAACTCATTAAGAAATTGGATCATGTATATCATATATGCACCATATATTAGGATTTAAGTTATAAATTATTAACAATAATGCACTGCTTGTATTAATATTATCAGTTATCAGATTCATCTAAATTGAATAAATTTATTTTTTCAATTGTCAGATAGATCTAGATGGCAGAAATAAATTTTTTAGTATTTGAGATTATCAGAGATTGAACTTTAATAACTTTAATTAGCACCCTACCAACAGATAACGTGATACCATTGCATCGGGAGCATATCACCTGGATCATTGTATTACAATTGTGTGGTCCATCAAAATTTTATAAGGAGCTCACACTTATAAATGGTAGACTCTTTACATAATTTTGATTAGACGAGTGTAAAATTATAATAAAAAGAATTGCTGCTGAAATACTCCTCTATTCCATTCCACCGTAACTCCAATTATTTATTGAAATTAAAGTTAATGATACAAAAATTTCGATGTAGCCAAAAATGCTAAATCAGAAATAACAAAGATAAGCACTAAGCAAAATATTGTTTACAAGGAAAAGATACAAACAATGAAGAGAGAACAATAGCTGGATTTTGAGTAAAAATGATTTAGCAATTAAATCCATGCAGGATGTGGAAATTAAAAATCAAATATTTGGAAGATGACAATATCAATTAAGCTTACGCATCCATCATAAATTCTCCTTCATAATTCCATTTTTCTATTGATATAATTATAATTACAATTATAATTATAATTATAGTTATAATTATAAAATGACAAAATGAATTTAATTGCCCTTGTGTGCACCAAATTCGAGACCCTTCACATGGCCACAACAAAGTCTCAAGGACAATTAGAAATTAAGCAGAAAATATTACGGTAATATTTTTATCCTAAGCAGTTAAAACGAAAATAAAAAAACAAGAAATCTCTTTGCAATTGCAGAAACCACTTTCATTCAAACACAAAATTTAATATAATCTCAACGTGTTCATAAACAAAAAACAAAAAGAAGAAAAAAATGCAAAACTGAGATTGAAGAAGGAAAAGCTTACTAGGAGCACAAAGCACGGTGGAGAACGGAGCAGCATCGTGATGATCATCAGAGTTTAACCTTTGTTGGGGAAGGTGAAACTTGTCGAGGGTGAGACGCCAAGAAGACGGCGACGTTTCTCCTTGATGAGGCAGAAGCTCTGTGTTGTAATCGCCGCTCTCCATTTCTTTCTTCCTTTTTGGGTGAAACTGAAAACATCAAAATGCTGCTTTTTTTTTTTTTGTTATTACTCGATGCTTCCGAAGGCCGCTCTTTCCTTTCCTTATTATGCGGAAGTGGGAGGGGAAGAGAGCCTGTATTTGCTCGTATTGTATGTTGTGGTGTACCCGACAATGGCATCCTCTTTGTGGATTATTTATTATTAAATTCATTATTAATTTGTGGGAAGGAGGGACTTTTACTTTTATCTCGTTTATATATTCTTGAATTTTCCTTTCCACGAAATAAATAAATAATAAAACTTTTTCTTTATTAAAAAATGAAAAATTTTCAGATTTTGACAAGTGAAAAATTATTACAATACGAAGTAAATGATCTCACACGAGATGCCACACGACGTCATTTCATTTATGGAATTTAAAATTTTCATTGTTTACGTGTAAAATAAAAATCGTTATAATATAAATCAACAGAAATTTAAAAAATTCATTGAAAATTTGATTATAATTTTTTAAATTTAAGAGTAGATTGATAAATCATTTAAATTTATAATTTATTCAAAATTTAATTTTTAATAATTTAATTTAATTTGATCGATTAATCATTTTTAAAAGATCATAATTTTATCAAATATTTTATCGAAAATTTTTTATTTGTTGTAGATATTAAGGAACATTGTTGATTGATCTAGTTGGTGGATGAAATTTAAAAATTATGAATTTAAAAAAATTTATGTATGTAATATATTTTTCAAGTAAAATAATTTAAGAATAAGGGAGTTTAAAAACATATTAAAATATAAAAAAAATAAATATAATAAAATTATAATTCCTCTGTGAAATACCAAATGAAAGTATATTCTTGTCCTCTGGACGAGAAGTGATATGTTGTTCTTGGAATTTTTTAAAGAATAAAGAACATTTCTTGAAAAGCATATATGTTTTGATCACTCAATCTTTTAAGTTTCATTTTTTTTGTGGTGGTGTTGTAGTTTTAAATGGATGGCAATTTTGATAGCTACAAGAGCATACCAAATTGTCCACTATTTCTACCCTCTGTGGTCCACTGTGCTTTCAATCCTCAATTTAAATTTTTTTTTTTAAAATATTTATTTATAATAAATATAAGAAAATTTTTTAAAATATTCAGAAAAAAAATTTTTTTTCTAATTTTTTTAAGTATCCGTGAATAGATCCATCCGCTTCTATCTTTTATCCCCATTACATGTCGTACATATCAAAATCACGCGAGGTTTATTTATTTACTGAAAGAAATATGATGTTGAGAAGTTTTAAAGCGTCGAGCTCTGACTGCTTTTTAATTGTTTATTTTTATGGTAATTGCTCTCGAAATTTCCTGGAGACTTCGGCGGTGGTAATCTTTGGACACGTTATTTTGCTTTACCATTTTAAACTTTTCTTTTACAATACGAAATGACGTAAGATTGTCACTCACAGTTGAATTCTCATGTTGATTGAAAACAAGGAAAAACTACAATATCCAATCATGATTTTACCTTCAAGTTCAAGTTATTCTTTGATTGAAAACCGTCAATCACTCTAGGTAAAAGTTTGAAATATCTCTACTTTCTCCAACGCTAATATTTCTTGGACTTTTTCTTTTACTAAACCACACGTTAACCCAAAGACATGATTGGGGACTAATATCTCTTTTCCAACTTAATAATTAACTACTAATTAATCAATTTTAACCCAATTAATTATTTAAATTGGGTTGGGCCTAATCCACATTTCATGGATAAATTCCTTATTCCAATTTTACGGATTTTTTTTTATCTCAACAATAAAAAATGTGTTTATTTTAAATGGTGTATAACGATCGGATTGGATTGGATTATGAAATATGAATTGTATACAGTGAGATATAATTATAAAAAAATTATTAAATTTATTAATAGTAAAATTTTTTAATTTCATAAACGAGATTAATAAGATGATATATGTCTTTTAAGATGAATTTAAAAAATAAAAAAATTAATTAAAATTAAAAATATAAATGAAATATGTGTTAATTTTTTAATAATATTTATAAAATTAAAAATTGTCAACAAATTTGATTCTTATGCAAAGTATTTTGAAACTAAAAAGTCTTGAATGTGACTATACAAGATTGTCGACGGGATTTGATTCTTATGGGAAATATTTTGAAATTAAAATAAGCTTAAATGTATTAAGTCAAAATAGAAAAAGCACTCTTAAAATCATTCATTTAGAGAATTAGATAAAAATTAATGTTATATGCGTTATGTAGATATTCGATTTAATTTGTGCACTAAGTTAATTGAACCTAGTTTAATTTTAAGCTCAAGGACCCAAAATCGATTGAGTTTGGACTTGTTCAAAGCCCAACTGGTAGATTTTTTTATTTATTTTTATATATTTATCTTATTTATCTTTTTTTTATCTGTTTTACTCATTTTTTATTTTTGTTTTATTTTTTTATTCATTCATTATTTTTCTTGTTGATTATCTTCAGTTTTAATTTTTTTTCTTTAAAATTATCTGTTTAATTTAAAAAGAAATAAAGGAAAAGAAAAAGCAAACCGAAAACTTGAAATTTAAAATTGAGGTAAGATTGTCCTTCGGTGGTAAATGTCACCAGAAATGATAGGGATTAATTTTGAGAGATAATTTGTTGATTTATTTGGGACAAATCTAATCCTAGTTGAATTGTTGATTTATTTGAAGCAAATATAATCCTAGTAGAACTAGATTTATGCTAAATTCACTTATAAATAGGTTTTGCAATACGCAACAATTCGGCAACCTTTTGGTAGCCAATACTAGTTGATCAATATCCAGATTCAACAATCATAGTCCTAAATTAAACCAATTTCTAGAAAGCTGGAAAAATTCAATTTTCAATAAACTTTTATCATTAATAGCAATAAGAGGTAGCAAACAAAACGGTAGAAAGAGCAATTACACAGCAATCAATAGGAAAAACTTGGGGAACAAGAAAATAGAAAATCGAGCAAAATCTCCCCAACTAGCAAAATCTTAACAAACTCCAACAAGTCCATTAAACCAACCCCTCATTCCCATTTGCTACAATCACTTAGCAATTTCACAACCCAAATCAGAAACCTAAACCACCAATTACCAACAACCATACAAAGAAATAAGTTTGGCGGCAAACATAGAAGATACACACAAGTTCAAAATTCAAAATCCAAATAGTTGTAAAAAAAGAAAAAAAAAGAAAAAGCAAATATAGGTTTTGAACTTGAGTAGTTCAACATGACTTTTCACATGAATCCATCAAGTTTCAGAAAGAATCGGTAGGGAATAAAAAAGAGGGCCCAAAACAAGCTTCTAGACAAATTTTAGAGTTTTTCGGTCGTTAGTGAACGGCCAATGTGCAGTGGTGACGACGACATTGTTTCACCAAAAACTGGGTTAAGTTTGAAGATCCCAATTGGCATTCATCCATTGTAGAAAGAAGTTAAAGATTTTAACTTGTAGAGAGAGTGAGTGAAAAGTAAGAGTGAAGGCAAATATTTTGGAAAATGCCTTTATACAAACATTAAAACGATGCCATTTTGGTATTAAAAGAATTGATTTCCTTCAACCCACTTAGTAGATCCATGCCTCCACCAAATAGTCGACCCAACCCAGTTGCATAAGCCACACTCCTAAGCCATCTAGTTGAGTCTAAGCTGACTTTCTAGCCACACCTCTTGAGCCATTTTTTGTTTCTGTAGTCAAGTCGAGTCAAATTTTTTAGTTTTTTTTTTATTTTTATTTTTACATTAATTTGTTTATTTGTTTATTTATTTATTTGATTATTTATGTATTCATTTATTTGTAAATATTTTTTAAAAATAACAAAGCATTTTTAACAAATAAAAAAGAACATTACCAACATATTAGAGGGTTCAAATTTTTAAAATGAATTCTTCAATAAGATAAAAACTTTACCAACTTATTGAAATGTAATTTAATTTTTAAAATAAAGTTTTACCAACATATTAAAGAACCTTATGAAATTTTTAAAAAAATTAAATTTTAGGAAAAACAAACATAGTTTTAATAAAATTCTATCAATATATTAGAGGATAATTTTTAGCAAAAAATCTTACCAACATATTGAAAGATAATTCTGAAAATAAAGTGTTTTTATAAAATTAAATTTTGAATCTCCAATGATAGAATACAAAAAGCATTGTAAATAGCAATTTCTATATAAATTCTTAGGTAGGAAATTCTTTTTAAATTTTACTAACATATTGGAGAATTTAGAAAAGATTTTCAATATTAAGATTTTCACAAAAATTCACACAAATTAAATGAATATAATGATAGAACCTCTTCAAAACATAATAAATAGTCTCCTTGAATACTTATGAGGTGAAAGAATATCCTTAAATTATTACCATCATATTGAAGTAACTTGAAAATAATTTCCAATATTAAATTATTGGTAAATTTTTAAGGCTTTGGATAACATGAAATCAAATTGATAACATCCTTTTATGGTTATTGTAAGGGTGTTATAACCTTTCTTACATGTAATTGTATTGTTGGACTTAGTTCTAGTTTCGTGGACTAGAATTTACCTTTTAAAGATAGTCAAGTCAAACCTGAGACCTTTTTAAAATATGATAAATTCATTAGGTAGCTAATCGTAACTAAACAAAAAAAATTAGTGGTGGTTCTTTAAAGTTAGGTTAACGATAAGTTTACGAATCTATATGTTATAATAGTTTGGTGACTTCACTAAGAAAAGTTAAGAGTCAGGCCAATAAACTCATGTTATCCAAAGCTGAAGTTAAAGTTAAAAATTTTTCTTTGAATGTTTTATTTGTTTCTAATTGTACCATATTTTGTCATTCACTTGCATTTGTATAATATGAACTCTATATTTGAACTTTTTCCCTTAAAAGAGAGTCAAGTACCTATGCTTTTGTGAGATTTTATGTCTCTGTTCAGGCTAGCGAAACATTCTTACTCAAATTAAATCCTTTCTGTTTGAAGCTTGTGATGGGCGAGGATTGTGGTGCCTTACTAGTATGTGATAAACAATGATGTAAAGAACAATTTGAGAACCTTTAGAGTTAACCCAAACTGCATATAGTTAGCCTTATGGACTTAACCTTTAGGTAGAGCCATGTCCTTCCTTTTTGTAGAAATGATCCAAAATTAGGTCATATACCTTTTGTTATACATGAGTTGTGTACTAACTTATTTTGTTTTTTCTTTATTAGATGCTAACTCTGTTCTTATTTGTTACTTCTTA